AGATAAGAACGATTCTACTTAATTAACTACTCTTATATCGATTTTTTACTTTTAGAGATTATAAAGTAGTCGAGGATAAGAGACTTTATTATATATATTTGAGATATCTAGTAATAACATCGTGGCTACTTTATTAGAGTTCTAGATCTAATATATTCTTTCTAGAAGATAGTAGATATCGTATTCACATAATCGTAATCTATGATCTTCTATATATATGATTAATAGAAGTCCATATATCTTCGTAAGATACGCTATTCTTCTAGTAAGAATAAACTTTATTATCTTTTCTATAATGTTAAGTAGAGCTATTAATTAATATTCTTTAGAAATCGAGTAATTCTTATTTAACTTCGAAAGAATAATTATTATTAATATTCTAAAGTGCTCTAGATAGTAGTCGTTCGTTATATATATATTAAATATTCTATATAGATAAAAAAGTAATAACTTTAGAATCTTCTTAAGAATTAGATTAGAGATCGCGTCTTTTCTTAATACTCTCTTTAACGATATCTGCGTTATAGCCTTTCTTATCTTATTTATAATAATTATTTTTATTAGATAAACTTATAGATATATTATATCGACGCTAATATTATTTAACTTTATCTATATTAATAATAGAAAGAACGTTTTTATAAGAAGATCTACCTTCGAATCTAGTTTATTATATTCTTATTTATCTTTATTAAATAGCGAAGAAAAATATATCTATATTATAAGTTATTTTCTAATCTACTTAATCTTTTTTTATATTATTTATAACGACTTATACGTCTTTACTATAAACTCTCTAAACGCCTTTCTAATAATTCTCTTAATTAGATTATTTTTAAAGTTCTTAATAACTTTATATTTATCTTATACTTTCTTCGAGAGCGTTATTCTTTAACTTCTTTTTAGTAATTTATAATATTTTTATACTTTTTTATATTCTAATATAAATCTTAATTTAGATTATAATAATAATTTAATAATCGAAGTAGACTTTTTTATAATCGCTTAAATAGAGTTAATAATAGCTATTACTTAATAATCGATATCGTTATTAATAAGATTTTTATTATTTCTTAAAAGATTAGCTAAATACTCTTTCGATACTATAACTTAAACGAGTATCTCTCTTAAAACCTCGATATTTAGTTTATTAAAGTTTTAGCGTATTATTAATATTAACTCTATTATAACTAGCTTAAGCTTTATAAGAATTAAAAGATAATTAAATTCGCTTTTAAAGTCGTTTTCGATATTATAGTTAATAATATTTATTATTAATACTAAAGTAGCGAATAGTAAATCTATTATTATTTAATAGTTTTCTTTATATATTATCGTTTCTATTAGTAATACTTATTTTATAATAAATTCTTTCGCTATAAGTATTAGTTCTTTCGCTCTCTTATCGATATAAGTATTCGATTTTCTTTATATTATATAATATAGATTAAAATCGCTTAATATAATTTATTCGTTATTCTTAGACTTTATAAGTATCTTATATAATTCGTTAAGTTCGTTTATTTATTAATCGTTAAGGTTATAAATATTATATATATATATAATTCTATTATTTTTAAACTTAATATTAAGAGTATAGAGGTTCGATAAATAATATAATAGATATTATTACTTTAATAATATTCTCTTATTAATATAAAAGTATATTTATATATTATTATAATAGGAGTAGATTAAGTTAAATCTATTCTTTAGAGAATAATATAATATATTTATATTAGTATTTCTCTAGAGTTTCTAAATTACTACTATATCGATATTATAAATCTTTTTATTATCGAAGAGTTCTATTATAATTATTTTAGATTTTTTTATATTATATTATAGTATTAATAACTAACTAAGATATACTATTATTTCTTAATATTATTATTAATATTACTTACTCGCTTCGTTTAATTTATAGAGTCTATATCTTCTTTCTAAGTATTCTCTTTTTCTTAATTATCGATAAATTAAATATATCTCTTTTTATTTCTATTAATAAAGACTGTAATTCTCTTATTACTACTCTTTTAACTTAGAGACTATTTATTATCCTCGAGATTATTAATTTTCCTTATTACTATATTATTTTTATATTATTTAACTTTATCTACTACTTTAAAAAGCGATTTATTTCTAAATAAGACTTTTATTAATAATGTGAAAGTATATCTTCTTCTACTCGACTAAAGATTCGATATAATAATTCTTTCGAGGTTCGGCGCTCTAATTTCTCTTCTATTAATTATTCTATCTTTATCTATTAACTCACCGCGTATAAATACTAGCCTTAAAAAAAATTCCTCGTTTCGCTTATAATTAAATATATTCTAAAAGTAATTACTTAATTAATCGCTTATTTAATAGCTAGTCGATATCTTCTTCGTTATTATAAATCGTAAAGAAGTCTATTATCTCACCATTCTTATTCTCGCTATCTCTCTCTTCTTTACTATATATATCTTATTCTAAGCCTTATATAATCTCTTATAAATCGAATATTTACGAGTATTAGCCGTGTAATCTTTATAATAATATTCTTCTAAGCATTTCTCGTATATTAAGTAATTCTTTTTAGAGTATATAGTCGATAGATAATCGTATTTTTAATATACGAAGTATTATTTTAATTTATATTACTTATTATAGACGTAATAGCTATATAGTTTTAAATCGATAACTAAGCCTTCTTCTAGTACTCTATTTTCTTTCTCTAAAGATACTAATTTAATAATTAATAAACTCTTATTATAACTCTTTTTATTCGCGTTAAATTAGTCTAGTTATACTATATCGAGACTTAGCGTATTAATATTTTTATTCTAAACCCTTTTAATTATTATAGTTATATCTTTAATATCGAATATATTAATTCTTACTTTATAAAGTAGAAGACTATATATTTTAATAATTACTCTTATACTATTACTTATCTTTAAAGTTTAATTCTTACTTTTTCTTAGTTTATTCGCCTTCTTCTTATTTATAGTTATAATATATATATCGCTACTCGCTAGCCTTCTAATCGTTCTAATAGATTTTCTTATAATATTTATATTTTTTATATATCTATTAATCATCGTAATTATCTCGCTCGATATCTTCTTCTTTAATACTTTACTTATTATCTCGTCTTATAGCTTTATAATAATCTCGTTTAGCTTATTATATAATACTTAATTTTATTTCGATATTATTAATAATATAATAGAAATTTCTTTAATAATAAAAGAGAATATTAAGAATTAATTTAGTACGCTAATATAGCTAGTCGTCGATATATTACTTTCTAAACTAATTATCTAATATTTAATATATATAATCTTTTTCTTTATATTGCTATCTCGATTATTTAAGTTAATAATTAGTTTATATACTTCGTCTAAGACTATTTAGATTTTAAATTTATTATTTATTCTTTTTATAAATACTATCGCCGCTCTAAAGATAGTAGCTACTTTATTTATTAGTAATTTCTAGTCTTTATCTATTATTTTTAATATAATATTTATTAATAACTTTAGTATAAATACGTGCTTCTTAAAATCGTAGTTATTATAATTTCATTAAGGCTAGCTAATTTTATTCGATATAGTTATAGAAGTATAAGCGTTTTCTAAAGTTAATTAAAGAGATACTAGTCTTATTAAGTACTTTAAATATATATATCTACTTTCTATAGCTTAATAATATAGTATAAGCGTTATACGAAAGTTTAATTTTAATATTATAATTTTAATCGACATTTCTTCTTTAGACTTACGCTAGGCTTTATTCGAGCTAGCTTCTTAACGACTTAGTACTTTAATAACTTCGATATATATATTACTTAGTAATCTTTATAGTTAATATTTTATTCATATAATACCACTAATATCATTATTCGATATACGGATTTATTCTCTAATATATAGGTTATTTAGTAAGAAGCGAGGAATATAGTAGATTAAAGAAAGAAGAAAGATAAAAGAGAGAGTTATTACTTATAAGGATATACTAATAAAATTATACTACGCCTCTATAGCGGCGGACTTTATAAGAAGTATTAGACTTATTAAGTAATATTAAGTTCTTAATAAGAATTAATAATAAGGATTTACTAGAGTGAGCGGTTAAAAAGAAGAATACAATTAAGACGAGAGGGCCTTAGCGATATAGGGTGTACCCCTTCTCAAGGATCAAGTACTTAAGACGCAGAACCATGACGGTGACTTGTATAGCCTCATTTATTTGAGATCATATGATTGGCCGAAAGGATCAGATAGATTACGTAACTCGCATAGTCGGCCACTAGGGCAAGACTTCAGGGTAGTATGATGTAATCAATCAATCAAATCTTGTGGTCCGCCGTTCCGTCATTCGACGTCTAACTCTAGAGGATCAACTACGAGGTTCATGAGATCCAGCGCTCACCACAAGCGTCCTTGAATGATCTGCTCGTCTGCTCATCCGACAAAGCTTAGACATATTCTCAAAGTTCCTTACCCAAAGTTGAATGCTGGACGCGACGGCAACAATTCTATTCGTAAGTACTGCTACGAAACCTTGGTAAACCAGCGGCTTGTTGGTTTGAATTACGTACAGGCTATCTGTTCACTTCTTGGAAGAGCATATCAGGTTCCAAGATGTCAATGCATTCTTCTCCCTTACACGCGACCAGGAGGAGCCGCTCGAATGCTTCGGCTTGGACAGGCCGCCTCTTGTCTGACATCAGCACGAAATCATAGTACGACACCACCGGTGGTGACTGAGATTGGTCGACGCACTTCAATGTGTTTCCCACTGGATTGTCCCATTGCGATGCTCGTGCAGTGAATAACAACGGTGTCAAAGACACAACGTTATTACAAAAGCCCAGCTTGAGACACGAATAAAGCCCTCGGAATAGGTGCGACATAAGAATGGTGCGGCGGAGACTCTCAGCGAAGATCCATGATGGCCAGACGGGCGAATTGGACGCGACCAGCTCAATCTTCGTTCGCATGTGAAGCTGGTCAGTCCACAAGAATGACCTCATTCTGCTCAGCAAGAGCCCTTTGCCGTATGTCCCCGTCAAAGAGCTGGATGATATGTACCAGTATCAAAGCTTGAACGCCTGCCAAATTCTCTGCGATTGGCCACGTTGCTTCGTTACTCTTGTGAATCAGCTCTGCCACTTTTGCTTCCATAATGTGGAACACAGCGAGCTTGTCGGTGTCGGTCATCGTCAAATTAAGCGCACAAATGGCGAAAGCGTTTTGCATCATCTTCGGCAAGGCACCATGACACAAGCGTGAATGAATGAACGGTGTCCTGCCTTAAAACACGAACATGGCCGGATAGCTTCTGACGTTGGTGACAAGGTAGGCCCTGCTATCCCCACTGTGAGCCCCAGATAATTGTGTGGCTGGCGGGTTCATTGGCGTCGTCAGCGAGGGTGAGGACAGTGGTTCATTGGAATACGAGCAGTCAGTGGCCCTGGTCAAGCACCGAGAGCATTGCGGCAATCGCAGATCACAACGCCGTTTCGCAGTGGCGCAAGTGACACAAGATCTGCGATGGGAGGGCGGCGCCAGTATCATCGACATGAATAAGATACGGGCGTAGGTGAATCTAAGACCAGATGTTTGGAACGTATGTGATCTCTTCCAGTTGTCCTCTTCTGTTGTTTGTCCATGATGTGTAATCCATTCCTGGCGGAGTCTAGCCCTATTGTGTACAAGTCTCCGCAGGAACTCCGTCTCAAAAGGATTCGATATGCGCCTCCCTTTCTTGCTTTGATAGCAAAATACTCATCCATTTAACGTTCCTTCTTCCATTCTCTTCAAAATCGGTTTTTCCTTTGAATTTGAATTCCTTTATCAAGGTGATGCTGACGCAAAATCGACTCTCGAAAGTAAAGCAATTTGCCTTTTCTCCTTTCAAGCTTAGTCGGAGTCTAAAATATTCCCTCTCGAACCCTTTCTCCACCGTTTAGACTTTGCTTTCTGTCTGTAAAAATCAGTATCTCGCGGCTTCGACGTTGCTGCTTACCTTGCACTCTCCCCACTCGGTGTCATATGCATATCTACAAACCTGGAGGCTATCTCTTATATTACTCCGGGCTGTAGCCTCGAGTAATACACATTCCATTACCTTCTCCTCACAACACACCCATTCTATTCTCTGATCTTCTCAGCTTGACATACAGACCTCAACATGAGCGAACTGTTTCGCGAAACGATTTTCGGGCAAGCTGTCCGATTTTTAACAGGCAACAAAGTACTCCAGTACCCGAAGGGCGCACAGGTTTCGAGTTGCCACCTGGATATTCTGCCTCGGGCAGCTTTGCGGCCCCTCGCGGAGACGGACAATCTTCACGAGGTGCGAATCCACCACCTCTTGGGACTGGTGAGGAAATAGAGGCGGAAGACCGTTTAGACTTAGAAGGAGCGTTCCACAACTCCCATTTGACTGGGGAAAAGCATACTATTGTACCGTCAGTATCAAAAGATGGAGCTGTTTTTGTCGACTGGTACTCATCAGACGATCCTGCTAATCCGCAGAATTGGTCGAGCAAGAAGAAAGCATTTGTCGCTATGCAGATATGGTATGCCTTCAAATTCTCACCTGCCAAGAGCCAGCCCCTGTACTGACTTGCTTGTAGCTTCTATACATTTGCAGTCTATCTCGCATCCTCAATCTATACACCATCCAAACCAGGAGTAATGGGAGCCTTTGGGGTCGGTCCCACAGCAGCATCTCTAGGGCTCGCACTATACATTCTTGGCTACGGCATAGGACCTCTTTTGTGGTCTCCTATGAGCGAGATTGTATTTATCCAGTTCTATAGTACCACTTGTATGGGACCAAGATTGACGGATTTACGTGTAGCCCACCATTGGCCGCAACCCGCCGTATCTCGTAACCTCCGCCATCTTCGTCATCCTACGCGTACTAGTACCAACCGCCCTCGTCAACAATTTTCTGGGTCTTCTAGTCCTCAGATTTCTTCAAGCTATTTTGGAAGCCCGTGTCTCGCAACCGGAGGCGCGAGCATGGGTGACATGTACTAGTACTCGCTACTCAAACTTCCGTATCTGATGACCTTCTGGGCTGCCGCTGCCACATCTGGCCCTGCCCTCGGACCGCTTGTGTCTGGTTTCAGTGTTCCGCCGGAGAATTGGCGATGGTCTTTGTGGGAGATCCTTTGGGTCTCGGGCCCGGTATTCCTGCTCCTTTTCTTCTGCTTGCCGCAGACGTCGACGCCGAACATCCTACCACGCCGGGCCCGAAGGCTTCGAAATCTCACTGGGAATCCACGGCTGAGAAGTCAGAGCGAGGTTGTCCAATCAAAGTTAACAGTCAGAGAAGTTGCCAATGATGCTGTATGGAAACCGATGCAGATTCTCATTCAAGATCCAGCTATCATGTTTGCGGCAGTATGTACCTCTTTGGTCTACGGAATCTACTACTCCTTCTTCGAAGTGTTCCCATTGGTTTATATTGGTCTCTATCACTTGAATTTCGGACAGATGGGTTTGGCATTCTTATCCATCGCTGTTGCCACTGCCCTAGCCATCATCACTTATTTTAGCTACTTTTATTTCATACTCGAACCCAATATCAAAGCCAATGGCTTTGGCCCTCCGGAACAACGCCTTTTGTCGGCTTTGTACGGCTCCTTCCTTCTCCCAACTGGCCTGTTCCTCTTCGGTGGGACCGCAAACGGCCACATTCATTGGATCGTCAGCGTTGTCTGCATCGGCGTCTATGCCTTTGGCGTCTTCATCGTCCTGCAGTGCATTTTCCTCTACGTACCATGAACCTATCCGCAGTATGCGGCTAGTCTTTTCGCAAGCAACGATTTCACGAGATCTGCCATGGCAGCAGGGGCCATCTTGTTTGCAAGGCCCTTGTATGTGAATCTGGGAATTGGACAGGGGATCAGCTTATTGGCTGCGTTTATGGTGGCATGTGTGGGAGGGATCTGGGTGCTATACTTTTGCGGGGCGACGTTGAGGGCGAGGAGTCAATTTGCGGTGAAAAAAGCTGTTGGGGTTGACTGCATCTTAGATTTCTTTGGATTCGTTTATTATCTACTGGCACAGCCGTGTTATATGATTGAAAATACTAGAAGATACCGAATGAGATTACAACGGCTCCGTCCGAACTGCCTCTTTCAGGTTCAAGCTGCTCGAAGATCCGGAGTCTCAAGCATCCAATAGCACGTCACAGGCTGCCGAGACCCGCCGTGCACTTAACCCAGGGCGTCCTGCTTTTATGAATTGCAAATTAAATAAGAATGCTTGGCAAAGCTGATTCAGCTCCGCCTCCGACTTTTTGTTAGCGCCATTCATAGAAAATTGTAGAGAACGTACTTTTCAGAGCCCTGCAGACGGTGGACTTGTGGACCTCGACATCCCACTCCTCTTTCAAGAACTGCGCCAATTCGTCTTGATACAGCCACGGCTTTTGACGCTGGTAGTCAAGAAGAGCGTCTAAAGCAGCAGGTGAGAGGCTGCGGCATCGCCCTTGTGTATGAATGTACCTGTCACGAGGGATCACGGTGTCACCATAGATAGCAAGGTTCCGCTCCCATCGATACGCCGTCGATACACTGGAACAGGCATCCGCAGCTACGGCTTCAGGTCGCCAATGGGATTCGAGCAAGAGTTGGGCACGCTGGCGTACAGAGGGATCCTTTCTGAATGGTGGCATCGCGTCCGGAGCAAGGGCTGGCGATGTGGCTATTACACGCCTAATGTCAGCGTGTCTAGTTCCTTCTATGCATGCGTCCTTCCTACGTCCTTTCAATTCCATCATTATTCCTTTCATGTAGCTAGCCATAGATAGCCGTGGCTTTGTTCTCTATCAGTTACATAATAGCTGATAGCCCCACCACTGAATCTACACGCTTTCTACAATCATCAATGCTATGCCTCGCTAAGACCTAAGTCAGAGGCAAAACACCAGGAAAAGCGTGTATACCCACTAGCTTCGGTATCACGAATGTCCAACTGAGGTAGCAGACGACAGTGGCTATTGCAAGAGTGGCAAGTACGTTCTCTACAATTTTCTATGAATGACGCTAACAAAAAGTCGGAGGCGGAGCTGAATCAGCTTTGCCAAGCATTCTTATTTAATTTGCAATTCATAATTACCACACAGCAAACATAGAAGCAACGCGCCCCCCCTGCTCTCTTTTCACCCTGTCGCCAACTCTTTGCAATGTCGCCTTGCATCCTATCGACTTCTCAGCCTCGTCGCAAGCGAGGCGTTTGCCCGCACACCCTCAACGCCCCCGCGCCCTTTCTATAACCCAATCATGACCCCCAAAACCTTCGAAATGGACAACGACATGCCTGATTGGACCGATGACATCGTTTTGGGGCTCTACTCATCATTCCGCCCGATGATGTCGATCAGGGCGATACCGGACCCGGCATGCATGGTGATCAGACGGGTCAGGTTGCGCAGGTTTTTTGTTTCACTGGCTGACATAGGGGCGCAGAAACATTTACTTTTACCCTGCCACGCACCTGGACTCGCTTAGCGATGATGAGCCTCTCGGATGATACAAACCAGTCGACGTTGCAGAATGGCCTTCAACCACCGTCCATGCATGGCACAATCAGCAGCTCGTAAGCCAGCATAAACCCTACGATTACCCAAAAGTCGCAAAGATACGACATCGCTGCCGGACGCGTAGACTTGGATCGCGAAGGAGCCTTGGCTCAAGTGGGTCTCGGAAATGACACCATCGCAAGCCAAGACCAGCATCGGCACCGTGGTCGTCCAAGCAACCTTGAGACATCAGAAGCCGTGTTGGACCCCGTTCTACTTCAACAGGCGCCAGCCTCGACAGTCTCTCCAATCGAGGCAGGGCGAAATGTTTCCACGCAAGACTCCCATGAGCTGGAAACCCTCGTATTTGATCAGGCTCGTACTTGCACGACTTGTCCCGATGGCCATTTTGATGACTACTGGCGCTATTTCGAAAAACCACTGGGAGTCCGATCTTCTATTATTAATAGGTGTCTCGATGAGAGGACCTTTGGCTGCCGTATTCCTGGCTGTCAATAAAGAATAAAGAATGATGCGAGAGTGGCCACCGTATTCCTGGCTGTTCAATGGACAACAAAGAATGATGCGAGAGAGCACTACGATAATCTGCCCAAGCGTCTTGGGCATGAGAACGACCGATCCCATTACGGCAAGCCTGGAGATTGGAGATGCCGCGAGACCGGATGCGAATTCGTCACGAAACGCGGGGGCGACCTCGAACGTCAGTCCTTGTCCTCATGGTTAAAGCGACACAAACGAAAGGCATATCAGCGAAGCTGCTTATTAATCTGCTTTGATATTTTAAGCTTATCTACTCCACTCTATATACTCCTTACTCATTGCTCCGCTCTACTATTCAAAGTCACCATTTATTTCGCTCCGCAATGATATATCTCACTGCCTTGGGAACGGAGAAATCTGTTTCGGAAGCTGATTTCATGAGAGTCGAAAGATATTGAGCTATGTATTTTGAATCGAAAAGCAAACTTCATGGTCATTGAAATATGTACGTAGAAAGCGAAGAAAGCAAATCCTCCGCTTCCTCCCAACCGCGCGAATTGCAAGCGTTGTTTAAGCCTCCTCGAACAAAGCAATCGTCTGACAAAAGTTAGACATATTGTCACTCTCGTTCACAACCCCAGTTCCATCGACAGTGACCATATTCGTACTCGCCTTGGTGCTCAGGGCCCATAGGTAGATTGCCGTGCTGCACTCAATGCTAACCACTAATCATTCGGAGTCAGTATTTTACGGTTGAAGAGCAAGACATGTTTCTCTGCTATGTCTTAAAACTCGGGAAAGGGTATGAAAGGGGAAGAAGTAACTCAGAAAGGGGAAAGGGCACTTACTGTTGACTTGACAGCTTTCGGTAGCGAGGCACGTCTGATCATAATTATCGAAGAATGAATATAACCCTGCGCCATAGACAAGGATATCACTGGAAGCGAAGATGCGCAGACCCCACGCTTTCTCGCAGCCGGCATCGCCGTTGCAGGAGCTGAAGTCGGGGTCGAAGTAGGTGTCGCTGGGCGTGAAACCGCCGTTAAGGGCTGTGGGATTGGATTGCATATATGGTGTTTCGGATTGGATGACCCCAGCATAGACATTTTGAGCATTGGCGAACTCGAAGTTGTAGAGCTGGCTGTGCTCAGAGCTGGTGCCGTACATCCAGACTGGTCCTTGCGATTCGACGAGAATGCCGCGACCGTTATAAATATTGATCTGGTTGTGGTCGGCGAGGTCAAGCTCGTGGTCGGCAACCCAAAACCAGTTGTTTTCGAGGTAGATAGTCGCTTTAGTGGTGACGTGCAGGAGAAGAAAGGCACCTTCACAGTTCGCGTTGTAGTTGGCCGTGACATTGGGGTTCTTGGCACAAGTGTTGCTTTGCAAGCTAGTGCCAGCCGAGCCACCGATGCGCATATGGACATCCCACATGCCCGAGGCACCTTGAGAGGACTCGGCGACATTCCATTCCACCATGACTGCACCTGGGGCTGGCCCTTTGGTCTCGAAGATGAGATCGCTCATTTCGACCGCGCCGGTGTCGCCTGGTTGGCCGACTTGGAAGACGGGAGCTGGCGATGCTTGATTGGCGAATGCGGTACCGGAAGCCATGATTAGGGGCCATATTTCCCCAGTCATCTTGATGTTACTGGGGACTTTGACCGTGGAAGTGACAACATAGGCACCGTGATCGAAGTAGAGAATCTGATCAGATTTGAGACCGTTCATGGCTGATTGCAAGGCGGCAGTGTCGTCGGATACTCCATCACCTTTGGCTCCGGCCGATTTCACGCTAACGAAGGATGAGGATGCGACACTTTCATACTGGGGCTTGGAGCGCTCGAAGATATTGGAGTCATCCATGAGAATAGCGGGTTTGGTAGCTGCGGTCAATGGCCCTTGGATCGTTGTGCTGGAGGCTGACGCAGCCGCACTTGCGCATGTTGCGGCAGATGCAGAGCCGTCATCGCCGGTGGTATATGCGTGACCTTGGGCCCATGACGAGACCACGGAACCACCTGCGAGGATCGTTTCCCCAGTGTAGCTGACTATGGCATCCGTACTGCCGGTGAAATCGCAATTGTCAATGACGAGCGTGTTGCCGGTGGTCGGAGTATTGCCAGTCGTGCTGAAGGCTGTGATGATACCTTTTGGCGTTCCGACGAACTTGCTGTCTTGGACTAGGACGGAGCCCACGGTCTGGTTGGTTGGGGTGTTTGACATATTTACGCCAACCCCGCGCACTCGCGCGCGAGTCAGCTTCCCTTCCGCAACTATTTGAATAACTAGAGAAAGGAAGGACTGGGAAACTTACGTTGTTGACTGTGATAGACTTGAGGTTCCATACCCAGTTCCACTAGACAAATTTCAGAGTCAGCTTCCCATCTGTAGATAAAGGTTTGAAAAGTGATTCTCGAACATGAAGGAAGAACTCGGAAAAGTGCCTTACATTCATATAGACGGCGGTGTTGCAGTTGTTGAAGGTCAAATTTCGGGTAGTAAACTGCTGGTTTCCGACGAACACTATCACATTTCAGAGTCAGCATTCCCATCGTTAGATAAAGGTTTGAGTAACTAGACATGGTTGGGGAGTAAGAAGTCGAAAACCAGTCTCAACAGCACGTTTCGGAGTCAGCATCCCCGTTCGTAGATGAAAGTTTCTTTATCTACGAATGGTAATGCAGACTCGAAATGTGCTAGAAGGAAGGAAGAAAAAGATAACTTACTGCCGTAGTTGCCCCCATTGAAGACCAGGTCAGAGTAGAATCCACCCGAACCGTTGTCCATGAAGATGCCTTCTTGATGGTTGTCGGTGCCACCTTGAACCATTTCAAAGACGATGTTCTGCAGGCTGGTAGCCTGAGCAACTTGCCAGTGGATACATGCGCCAGTAGTAGCAGGCATGGAAGTAATGTCAATGACGAAGTTCCGGACTTGGCGATAGACTAGTTCGTCAGAGTCAGCATTACTCTTTTGGGAGGGAAATCTGAATCGCGAAACATGTCTTATGAGCAGAGAAATCTTGAGATATGTCTGACGACTCATAAGACAGCACGAATGGGGAAGGATTGCCTCGGAAAATGTAACTTACAGTTGTTTTGGTTGGTGTACCAGTTAGCGCCCTTCGTGTATGGGTCAGAATCGATGACGGCGATACCCGTGAAGCTGGCTGATGCTTTGATCGTGGGGATAGTAACAGCATCGCCTATGAACTGGGAATAATAGGACTGGATGATAGGCGCGCTAACCAGGTATGTTCCTGGTGGAAAGTACACAATAGCTGGGGTTACTGTGCTGGAATCGCAGCCTAGACCGCAGCGATTGCCATCGGTAATGGCGCTATTAATCGCTGCGGTGTCGTCGGTGGTGCCATCTCCAGTTGCACCATAGTCCTGGACATTACGGAAGACCTTGTAAGATGCGTCGCCGAATGCAACAGTACCTTGGCGCTGGATGTTGGCAACCCAGTACGACGATGAGGTTGAGGCGACTTTGCTGTGGGTGGTGACGTTGGAGGTCATCGGCACAGCTTCAACCGGTGAAGTCGAGACGGAAAGAAGGAGGACGCGAAGGGTGACGAACAGCGCTGCTGCTGAAAAGGGGACCATGATGATGAGATCTTTTGTGTTGAAGTTGCGGTGGTGAAGGTTGGTGAAGATGGAAAAGAAAGACTTAAGGTCAGAAGATATCAGCGAACCAGCGCTGAGATGTAGTTATGATTAGGAGACACAAAGATAATTGTGGGCTAACAATGAACGTTCGATGTTGTTGATGAAAGGAGATGTGACAAAGAAAGACTTGGCAGGTGCCAGAAGTGAAAGGACTGTGCGTTAGATAATACAAAGAGGTCGTCTAGGTAGCAACGCGCTTGAGCAATGGTGAATGTGTCATGAAGACAAAGAATAGCATCGAGGATGGGGCAATGCCTATTCATGAAGACAAAGAATAGCATCGAGGATGGGGCAATGCCTATTGTAGGGTAAAAGGTATGAAACAGCTTACAAGTGAAGGGGGCTTTGGTCTTGCGTTTGCCGCGCGTTGATTTGATATAAGAGCTCCTGGGTCTTGACCCTCCCTCCCTGCGCCCTGCCTGGATATATAGGCACCGCCTTCCCCGCCATGGCCTTCCTGATCCGCATACTGAGGAGACGGACATGCTGCCCACGCAAGTGGCCATTCGAGTCACATTCAAAGGCATCAGGGGATGGTCGGGGTAAGAATGGACCAGTCATGTGTAAGGCTGTGTGTTCAGGAATGGAGGTTGAGATGAACCCTAGTGTTGAGAACCTTGCGCCGGTTCGTGCCCCCTCACCCGGCGGTAGGCTGCGAATAGAAGCCCGAAACACCACTGTGACCATCGGATTTGTTCTGGTCTACTTGCTATGAAACTTTAACCGTAAGTATTACCATAGTCTGGCGACCGCCCTTAGGAAGCACTGAGAGTAAGCGGTCAATAGACAGTCAAATGAAGGTGGACCCTTATTTCCGAAACAACGATAAGACCTGCAGGCAAAACATGCGCGTCCTTTGGACCTCAGAGAATGAATGGCTGGCAAAGAAATGAAACGAGTGTTCTTGCGAGTATCATTTTGGTTGAATAAGTGGCATGTGGTTGATCTGAGTGGCTGGCTATTTTGTCTTGAAGCGCCGGCAGTCGCCCGCGCTAGGCAGGGTATCTAGAGCAACCAACCATTTGGGCAGTTCGGAGTTCCTTCCGAGATCTTTCACATTTTGGCCTTCGTGCTCGGCCTGCAAATCTAATGATCATGGACATGGATGACGACGATGACATTGTTCTTGCTTTGTTCTACCACGGATGCACTCGTTACATGGCGACCTTCTCTGCATTCGATTCATCTCTTTCCGATCATCCTTATGCATAGCAGGACACGCCGGAGAAAAGAGCACAAGTCATTCCCTATGGACGCATGATTTATGAACCCTGAAGCCCATTACTTGACCCCACACCGTGATTGACTAAGTTTTATTTTTGACGAGCTAAGCTAGGAAGTTCAGGTGCGAAAACGGCGAATAATATACCCCAGGTTTCTTAGCATATTTCCCCGCAAGCTAGCAGCGCGCTCGTGCGTAGGGTGACTTGCATCGGAAGCTATGAAACAATGTTTTGGTGTCATGGGTACTGCCGAGAGCCTGAGGATGCTGATTTGCCGCCCAAAGAGATTGTGACCAGCCATGCTTTGGACTCGTTTGATTGCCTTAAATTTCTGCCGTTGGTCCGGTACCTCGCATTGACTTCTGTGCTCCTTTTCATTAATAGACAGCCTCCTGGTAAATTAGATGTCCCGGAGCTCAACGGTGTCGCTCTACCAGGAAGCTGCTTCCTTCTCGCGGGGATGGTGTCGCTTCCTCTTGCTGGCGCTGATTCCTTTGCATCCTGCCGATCACCTGAGCAAGGCGCTGGATACCCTCGGCCAGCATTGCCTCCTCTTCCCACGAAAAGCATACTCTGACCTTCCTCTCGAGGTCTACTGCCTTCTCATCGCCATAGACCGCAAAGATGGGCCCAGGCGCTATGATGAGGTTCTCCTCTTGCTGTGCACGCACTGCAACCTCTTCGGCTTGCATCGGAGCGGGCAGCGACAGCCAGATGAAGTAGCCACCCACCACGTCACGAGTTGTCTGAGGTAGTTTCACTCCCAAGGGCAGTAGATGTTCTTCAATGGCCGTGATCATGCTTTGGTATCGCCGGGCATACGTAGGTTGTAAAGTTTTGAAGATGTGACGCTGCAGTTCGCCTGACTCGATGAGGTTTGACACAAAAGTGGAGGTCAGCTGTGAGGGTGCCCCACCGGACTTCGACGATCCACTACCATGCATGTCAACAAGGGTCGACAGTAATTGCCACTGTAAAGCTTACACTTGAGAAGTCCCCCAAGCAAACTTCTGTGTACCCTCCAGCCAGCCTGTTCGACACCCCGGCCCTGCTATCTTACTGAAGCTGCCATTGCTGACGGCATTTCCAAATCCGTCAGAGCCCTCCCTTTCGGCACCGCCTTCCAATGTCCGATCGATGTCGACAAGACGAGGCAGATAGGCATGCTCTCTGCTAGGCTGAACGGCAGTCTTGTCCGTGGGCCATTGTAGCATATCGTAGACATCATCCGTGATGATACAAGCATCGTACTCGCGGGCGACTTGGACGAGCTCCTCACGACGTTGGAGACTCATGATCCTAGACGACGGGTTGCTGAACGTAGGAACGGCATATATGAGATGCCGATAGATCTTGCTCCATGGTCGTGTAGGTTTCAGAGTCTGATAAAGACGAGCTCAGCAGAGTGTTCTACCTTGAATCTTCTCCTGTGTCATACCGGCTGCGTGTTGCCTTCTGCCTGCGCCTTCATCTCACTTTGGTGCAACGCTTTTCTCAGGTATTCAACATCAACCCCCTCTTCATCTTCGGGCACAGACCGCAGCCGACCATGAAAGCCACTGTCCTCAAAGATCCGACAAGCGTGGAAGTATGTTGGGGACACCATCCATACATTCCTCGTGAAAAGCGGGTCTGAAAAGACTTGGAGAATGCATGCTAGGTTCTGGCTGGCCCCTCCAGTAATGCAGATTCGCTCGGCCGATATCCGGCTGAGGGGCTGGTAGAATTGCGTAAGCCAGTCGGCGATGTGTGCTCGCAACGGTCCATATCCATCATCAGGTCCGTAAAGGAGACCGGGGGTGGAGATGTCAGCATTGGAGAGAGCAATAGAGGAGGCTATCTTGATCTGGACCGCGGGCAGCAGAAACGGATTTGGCCATCCCTTCAGTAGATCGATAAGAGACCAAGGCTTGGAGGAACCAGTCATCTTATGCGTGAATCAGGTTGTTGTCTCAAAGTAGGTGAAGGGTGACGATTATTGGTAGATGGATGACTAATAATAAGCCTTCAAGATTACTCGTAGAAGATTAGGGAATCATTTTCTACTTGGGTTCGGGAGCGTTGCATCCTCTCGCTCTCGCCGAACTCTCGACATACCAGCCTTGCTTTACTTGCGATCCTTCGTTATTGTTCCAGAGCTGCTCAGTTGGTGGCCTGGTATTATCTGCGTCTTGCAGTCGATCATCGATTGCTGCGCTTGAGAGGATATGGGCAACGGAGCCAGCTGATAGCGATGATCGGCAGAGTTTCAACGTAATGCGAGAGAGACAATGGCGGCCATTTCAGCCATTCGGATCCCTGTGCTCCCGCTTCTTTCAGGGTGGGTCGTCCGCAAATGGTTCTTTTGCTGTCTATCAATCGCCATTTCGAGGCGACGAGGCATCAAGGGTCGCAGAAAAGAGATGCATTTTCAATATTACTATCTGAACGTTTGATCATTTGCTACAAGCTCCTTTTCCCTTTGAAAACCCCTCTGCTCTTCATCGTCTTATTGTGTATCCTGACGTATGATATTCTATGGTTTTATTGAAACAATACTCTGTCGCTGAGAGCAAGACTCCAATATGTTTACTATTTGACATGATTTTCAAGATCCCGCCGTTGGCGCTGGGTACCCCGTCAGGAAGCAGTCCGATCATACGGGTAATGATCCTGCAAGACCTCGAGTGAACTTTTACATTTCAACCTGCTCTATTGTATGGCCTGGATCTCTCATCGACGTCTCCCCACCCACCATGCATGAGTCCTTTCGAGCTGGACAAGCTCGGAGGATCATGAAAAGGCGTCAGCCCGACGCAGCTCCCAGAGGACTTGATAACGGGTTCTGCTCGTGCCCTGCGCAGTGTACCCGGACGATGGAAACCCACGAATGACGGTGCCTTACAAACAAATGCGATTTGAGCATTCAACCATACGCGTAGCTTCACCAACACACGAGGTCAGGCTTACGGACGTGAACATCGAAGGATTGTCAAGATTCCATATCTGACCTACGAACCCGACGGCAATCCAGGAATCCCTTCGGAAACAGATAGGATTTCAAAATTCTGCCTTACAAAGAAAAATCGGAATGTGGAGCGCGGACCAACCGACGTCTCACATAATACGGGGTTGATAAGTATATATGAAATATATGAAGACAGTAAAATATACGCATAAACTACGTTGTTTCTCTTTCCATGGATTTGAATTTCACTAGATCGATAACGAAAACCATGTCACGATAGTCTAATGTTGATTTACTTTGATCTAACTGGAATGTCTGTTTAGCACGTGGTCTCCACCAAACCTAATCAATTACGCCTTGGAGGGCGAGAGGTTAGCGCACCGCTAGCGTTCGCGTCTTTATGGTACTAATAGCCAATGTCCCCCAAGTTTACGGGGCTGTCCATATGGACCAGCCTTCGAGAATGGACCATCATCGCAATGAAAAGGATCACACCAAGGACTTGCTTATGGCCATTAACTGGAAGTCTCATAGCTTCCTTTGCTCTATCTCTCGGTCTCACATTTCGATCCGATCACCACTGCTATGCAGGAACTTGCGGAGAGTGGCTATTTCCGCTCCAGGCGCGACTTCACATCGTCGTTTGGTACTGCTGGCTTTCCCTCTCCGTCACAATGCTGGCCCTGCGAGCCTTCCATCCATCTATACGGCGTAGCCTCCATAAACAACTTTACACCAACCAATTACCCATCATTCGAAAATCTTTGACAATTAGCGGAGTGCTGGTCATCCTTTGGGTCTTGAGTCTTTACGGCATCCTCATTGGCATATGGTGGCTGCGTCTGCGAGGGTACTTCGTGACCAGGGGAGAACAGGGTGGGATGATGAATGGAAATCGGCGTGTGGCCGCTGTTGCCTTGACAGGCCAGTACGACTTCCCTAGCCTCGCACTTCCTTCTTTGAACGCCTTGGAGTTCTTGAGGCATGTTTCGGGACTCCCGCATGTTTTTCATGATTCCATTTTCCGGCCATAAAGGATATTCGCTGACTGGAGAACGTCGACAGTATCTGCGATGTCACCATGGGAATGGTCCTACTTCCGGTTGCTAGAAACGTGAGTTATCGCATCCAAAACATTTCCTTCTGATTCGTACTACGTGTCGGGTAGCGAGACTTGTCGCAGGAGTACAATATCCTAGGAACCTGTTTCACACCTCGGTTCTCATTACAAAAGAGAACTGCTGACCCCGAAGTCATCCAGAGCGCTTTGTCCTCATTCTTCAGACTGTCAGCATCAACTACGTATGCCTTTCACATGATCCAGGCATACGTCCTATTCGCTCTGGTGGTGGTCCATGGTTTACTCTACGCATCATGGGTCGCGGCCTACAACCACGCCCGAAACCTAGCCCACTTACCTTCGGTCTTCCCAGTACTGAACCCCACATATTTGTATCACGAGGTCTGGCCCGGCAATACGTCCTCACTTGGTATCTGGAGGGCGTCGCTCATCTTCACTGGGTTCACGACTAGTTTGATTATGCTGGCTGTCTTCATCACCACGTTCCCAGTCATAAGGCGAAAGCATTTCAATGTCTTTTACTTTACACACTTGCTGATGATAATAGCCGTCGTCGTCATTTGCCTGCACGCGAGTACGATGTTCTACTGCACAGCACCTGGATTAGCCATGTGGGTACTCGACTGGGGCATGCGGATCTATGAGCTGAGTGGGAAGATGGACAGTACTTTGGTAGCTGTTGGTAAAGGGTGGTTCTGTCTGAATGTACCACTGCCACGGAATCGACTCAAAGGTTGCGCATGTCACTCTCCGCTTGCTCATTTCCACATACACCACACCGAATCCTCCATACGAGAAATCCACCCTTTCACAACCATTACGCACCTGGCCTCACAGAAGCTTTCTTCATCGGACTCAGACAAGAACATTATGATCCAATTTCTCTTCCGCAAAAGTAAAGCATCGAGTTACTCCACGTCCATGACAGAACAAACTCCTGAAAGGCGTCTAAAGAGACAATGGACGAACAAACTTGCCGACCTCGTTGATGAAGTGACAGTAGACCTGTCGCCACCATCGGAAAGGATGGAAGAATCAGATCTCCAAAGACAGCGACTTTCCACCCAGTACCAAACCACTCTTCGGCTTGAAGGGCCATACTTCACGCCTGCTAATCCAGCAAGTTACGATACTGTCATCTGCCTCGTCGCTGGCACAGGCGTCACCGGAGCCATCGCCATCGCTGCAGCATTCCGCCGACAGTCCACGATAGAGGCCTTGGAGCCAGAAACAACCATGTTTGGGCATGAGAAGATACGCGGCGCCCCGTTAGAGCGAAACTTTTCCATTTCAAGCTTCTTGGCACCTTCAGGGGCGGCGAGCATTTGGAAGCGATGTGTGGTCGTGTGGAGTGTGCGGGAGGCTGATTACATCGATCTCCCTTTCTGGCACGGTAAGCAAGGATCCTCTGTCTTTGATCCGATTGACGATCTGACTTTGCAGTAGTGAACACGACACCTGGGCTAGAGGTGCGCGCCTTCCTAACCGGAAAAGGTCGCGATCGCCTTAACATGGATGAGACGATCGGTTCGATAATGGGGAATGGGGGTAGGACTTGGGTTTATATCTCGGGGCCAAACCCGTTCATTGAAGCTGGAGAGAAGGCTTGTCGGCGATCTGGTGTGGACTTCTTTGGTGCACGGTGGGCTTGATGACGTTATGACCCAGCGAGCAGTGCATAAATTCATGCAACGCAAATCCTGCAGGTCGAAATTCAAACGTAAAGATCTAGACTGGACCGTGGCTCTTACTGACGTCATTCCGTATTCCAAAGCAAATTGTGATCAGGAATGACGTTGAGGAATTACGAGACCATTTCATAGAGTGTAATGCAGGAATCTGACCCGCATGATTCAATAATGTCTGAAGCATCTGGTGCATCATTGCTATGTATGTTGTTCATCGGGATGATCAGTGAGAAAGTTCATGCCAAGCAAGCCGGAGCTTTTACCCCGGATCTCCCGGTTAATCCGCGGGCGTCGTCAAATTTTCCTTGTTGTCGAACGGGCACAGCAAACTAAAGTACATAACAAAAGCCTACGTCGTTCCTTTCTCTGGCAGACCAGTATCTTTATCTGAGCAGCGTCACTCCCTTGGGCAGTCGGCTTCGTCTTACTACATGGAGTACTCGGGAGCTCAACGACTTTCGGCAAGCTGCCGCGTGGCCCTTTTTACATCCACTTTGTCTCAGCCTCGTATCGTTTTCGAAGAAAAGCTGTGTGCGTGAGACCAGGATCGAAGGACCTCCGGACCCTCAGCTACTGACTTGCAAGTATAATCCTAAAACTCTCCTTCTGTTTGCGAATGCCAGCAGCAACAATGGCAGCCAAGCGCATCTCCTCCATTTTCTCGATGGGCAGCAACATCTCCGACCAGAGCAGCGAATCTCGAATGTCACCCTCAATTCATCCTGCGCGACCTCCAAGGGAGCAGAATCAAAGTCCCATCCATGTTTCAGGAGAACAGAGCCATGTTCTCGGTTCGGAACAGCGGAATTCCGTCAATCTCTCGAGGAAATCCCTGCCCAATTTACGACCTACTTCTCACCTACAGAATCTTCATACCGAACAGTCGTCTGGGTATACACCCCCGTTTGATCCTACGATTCTGCCTCGCATCGAAGACGACGATGTCCTACTCAATCCTCCTCCCCTACTCAAGCCACTGCCAATTCGGGCGCAATCGCCTGGCGGCTCCCTCGGAGGCAGCAGACCAGTCAGCAGAGGCGACGCAATGGACAACAGACCAGCTAGCAGGGGCAATCCATTTGACAGCAGATCTAGTAGTCGTCCACCTAGCAGTCGCCCTCCATCTCGTCCTCCTTCTCAACCAGCCTCACGTCCTGCATCTCCAATAAGGCTCCGTCCACAAACACCAACGAATCGTCCCCTCACGCCTACGACAGAGGCAAAGCTTGCCAAACGGAGGAGCTGGATGCCAGGAAAACTTCGAAAGGCGGGGCAGGATGAAGGAAATAATGCGAACAGTACGCAGGCTTGGATGGTCACACCTAATGAGAAAATACCATACGATCTTTCGGCGCTGGCAAGTTTCCACAGGGTTAGTTTCCCAAGTACTTCCTTTGAATTATTCCCTAAAGCTAAGAGCTCTCCAGGTCCCAGAGCTTTGGAATGACCATGGCGATACGCTGGTATATCTACACGCCAGGGAAGGTGGCAGAGGCCCTTCATTCAAGATTGACTCAGCCCTCTTTGCTGCCTCCAAAAAGTTGGTATACGCTGCACATGGCGGAATGCAAGAACACAACCAGCGGGAAGCGAACGATTGGCAACAACAGTCATTCATGGAGCGCACCCAACATCTAACCCTCAACGCTCCAACATTTTTTCCCACAGAACGGCTGGGGTCCTCAAATCAAGAGAGCTCTAAAGGATCGCGGTCTGTTAGCGATTATTTTGAGGAACTGCCAATACGAAGAGACATTCACCTTTGTCTTCCGCTACCGCTGCAAGTCGATCTAAGCGACGCAACTGCGCTACCTACAACTGAAGATGTCGAAATGCTTGTTACAATGCGAAACGTGATTGCGTTTCTCGCAGGTCAGCCTTTGGTGGCCACGCCTAAACAGGCATCGGTGTTCATTCTTTTTCTGAAGATTGCTGATGTACTGCAGCGTTACGACTTTACGAATCTTGATGGCTCTACACTTGGAGAAGAAGCGGCAGGGAACTTCGCAAGCTTCATTCGGGAATTCGGACTAGCAGACGTGAGATCAAGTCGTGAGAAGACAATCGAAGCTCTGATCCTCGGAGAACGCATGAAATCTTGGGATCTATACAACGAAGGATTTGTGCATGCTGTTGGAAAATACGACGACATCAATGGACTTAAAAGCCCCAAGCTCCACTTAATCACTGACCTTACTCGAAAAAGGCTAGAGAGAGCAAACCTGGATCTCTATACTCGCGTTCGAAATATAGAGACGAGGTTGGAGGATTTTGACTTTCCTTCTCTTTTCGCCGGAATTGCAAATTCCAGTACCAGCAGCGAAAGCAAAATTGTTCGCTTCAAAGATTGGAAGAGCGCATACATGTCAATGCGAAGACACATCATGAGTCTCTACAAGCATCAATACGGAGCCTGGCCGCCAAAAGCTCAGTCAAAGAAGAACGATTTTGAGGAAAGCGGACTGAATCGTCTTTTACTGAGGGAGCTGTATAAAGATTTCTCAGATCTCTACGACATTCTTGTGGACCGCACTTCCCTGACTACTCGCACAGCGGACATTCCATCCCATGATCCGGACGATCCGCAAGAGCCAGCACCACGCGCTTTGCGAAGAATCTTGGATGAATATGATCGCAGTACTCCTCCAGTTCAGCCGCCAGTGCCATTCGACACCCCTCGAGTGCCATCATTGTTCGATACAAGGCGAGGGTTCGACACACTTGACCTAAAGAAGCAGAAGAAAGAGTGTGTGAAGAGACTCCGGGACGATGAGATTAACAAAGCACTCATGCAGTCCTATAATCGAGAGTCGATGAAGGCAACACCGTTCCTCGAAGCTTTCATGGCCTACGAGCGAAGGACTGCGCACGGAAAATCTATCGAAGAGATAGCTGACCTACGCTATGGACAGTGGATCTTCATGTATGCAGTGATCCAAGCGTTGCCCCTTGTAATCGTTGACGCTCCTGGTGCGAGATGGACGAAGGGAGTGGAGTACTTCCTTTGTGAGGTGCCCAAAGGATCCCCACCATGGGTTCAAGAGAGCGCGAGCCAAAAGCAGAGCGTTTACCGCATCGCTGGCGGATCAGCCTTGGTGACCTTGCCAGCTGATGTTGTTGAACACAGCGTCGATGGTATCTACCGCCGAAGTCACTGCTGGCAGGTGGCGGATAAGTGGGCAGGGTTCAGTGAGGTGCCAGATGTCCAGTCGCAGAACGAGCCGGATCTTGATGATCTATTACCGCCTGTGATGCCATCAGCGCCGGGATCGAGAACAGCCTCACAGTCACCTGATCGACGGCGGGCCCCTATGGCTCTTGGACTAGAGCAAATGCCGTTGCCTCCAGGAGTGGCACCAAGCGGAGCTAGGCCGATGTCGGTGCATGACCCGTCGAAGAGCTTCGCTGCTATTCTTGGCGAAATGGATGGGGTGGGAAAGAAAAAGAAGTAAAAGCGCTACATCGATGAACGACAGTCGAGTGAGTGTTTTGGATTGGTGCATACGATTAAGACCACAATAGACGGGTTCAATATTTCATGCAATGAATGAGCAAATGGCGAAGATCTTCCGCAAGCTTCTTCAGCCGGTACCTGCATTTGATTTTTTGGTCTGGGGAAGTCTGCTATATAGAAGTTGGATTGTACATGTCGCCACACATCGTTTATATATTTACCTACCTAGCTGTAACTCGGTAGATAGGAAGCACTCGCCTTTTGCTTACGAGTCAAGTGATGAGGGCAATGGAGTGAGTGCATGGCAAGTCGTAATGGCACGTCATAGCGTTCGGTGCGAGAATCAGGAATTGGGGAAACCACACAATTTCCGTGCTTTATCGAGTAAAATACTGTACCACCGTGCACATGACTGTGTTTGGGTTCACCAATCACCAATCACCAATCATCGTTCGATGAACTCATAATGAGTTTCATCAGCTTCAATCTGCAACCAATCAGAGAGGGTAAGCGCCTAGCTAACTCAAAACGCGTAAGCTTCTATATAGTAATCAAAGCTTGGCGCCGACGACAATGACTTTCATCCATTCATTCACTCAAGCTTCCTTCAATTCTGTCCTTGCTTTGTTTCACGACCTGTTCGGATCCTTCTTCAGGCTTTTAATGATTCGTCTTGGCGCCCTGCTTTACGTTTCGACATTACCCTACTTTAGAGGTGCAGGCAACATGAAGAACGTAAGGTGCCGATATGATGCTGAGATCTCGGCGCTACGAGGACCATATGATCCCAAAGCTCTGCATTGGACAAGGCCAGGACCGAGGTTTGCGCTATTTGTAGGGTGAAGGTACTGTAATGCTGCAACATCCACTCACTTCACTTTTGTGAGACCTTCTCGTTGATCTTCCATATGTTTATAGCCCTTGTGTTATGGCGACAGTGATGAATTCACCCCCCTTCGCGTTCATCTCGCTGAGACCTTTCGCGACGTCGGACACCTTGCATAGATGAATTACTACTATACCTTTACCTTCTTTTGATAATCTTAATCATGCCAAGCACCCTCACCATACTTCCCTTCGCTTCTGACTTCGACTTGCTGTGCATCTCGAGACTCGGCGTCTGAGGCGGTGGTCGCATCATCATCATTATGCGGCCAAGCTTCATTGTGACAAAGGAAGAAACAATTGCATGAAAAACGCACAAACTCAATATCTATGTCTCGACAAACATAGTTGGTGAACAAATCAGTACAAAGATTGTACAAGACAATCGGTACAGTGCCATTGTGTCTGTCAACAACGCCCATTGTCCATTATCTCTCTCAAGTATAGACATTTCTCCACGCTACAACTGAATCCTTCTCTGCAATTCTATCAACACAAGGACCTCGAAACATCCACCATCTTCGACGATATACACCGCGGACAGGCTCCAGCTTCTCCATCGCATCACCAAATCCCGCTTCCTGCTTCCCTTCCTCCGCATCCAAGGTCTGGTACCTCGATCTTGACCTGTGCTGGTCACAATTATACGATTCAACCTAATACACTTTTCTAGGATTGCGGCATTCTTCGCAAACCATGAGTAGCCCGATGAACGGCACAAAGTCGTCCTCGGCAGCTGAGGCCGCGAAGAGCATCATCCCTTACACGTACGGTCTTACTGGGGTTGACATACCACTCGATGACAGCCTCACATACATGCTATGGCTCTCGGTAGGGCTACTTTTCCTGGTGATCCTCTGTGTGCGTTTTGGGCAGATGGCAAACGCACAGTTACGGCACCTCCTGAATCTCAATTCCACATCTCTACAGCAGTCATACTGGTCGGAAGATAGGACCTCGATATGGCCGAGTCTCAAGAAGCAAGTCTTCTATGCCCCGCTATGGAGAAAGAGACATAACAGAGAAATCCAGCTGTCAAGGGCCATAAATGTTGGAACCCTTCCATCAAGGCTTCATACGGTCTTGTTGCTCGCGTATCTGTTGAGTAACACCATTTACTGCCTTCTCCTCGACTACAGCCAGCCAAAAGCCAAGAGCATCGCCGAATTTCGCGGAAGAACCGGTCATCTTGCCATCGTCAATATGGTTCCTCTGGTCATCCTCGCTGGCAGAAACAGCCCTTTCATCCCGCTATTGCGCATCAGCTTCGACACATACAACCTTTTCCACAGATGGATTGGCAGGGTCGTAGCAGTGGAGACTTTTGCACATACTCTCGCATGGGCTTGGAATGAGTATGACGCTGCCGGCATGAAGGGACTTAGCAAACATCTTCAAGAGAGTCCATTCCTAGCCTACGGCTTGCTTGGAACAGTGGCCCTGGGTATCATTATGATTCAGGCACCATCGACCATTCGCCATGCATTTTATGAGTTCTTTTTGCACGTCCATCAAGTTCTCGCCGTGGCCACGATCATTGGTGTCAAAGTACACTGCAGATTAGGCGTTCTGCCTGGGGAGTCATACATCGACTGGGTGATCGCACTTTGGGTCCTCGAACGCTCAGCTCGCTTGTTCCGAATCATCTACCGCAACGTCTCAATGCGTCGATTCAGCAGAGTTACAGTGGAAGCGCTCCCAGGCAAAGATGTCGAAGCATGCAGAGTCAGCATCGAGGTAGTCCGACCATGGAATTACAGGCCAGGCACTCACACCTACCTCTACCTCCCCACTGTCTCCTTTTGGATGAATCACCCTTTCTCCATCGCTTGGTCAGACGAACGCCAAACACCCTACCTCACTCCCCAAATCGAAGAGCTCTCCGTCACAAAAACCGACGTCGAATCAGCTATGTCTGAGCTCCCAACTCGCACCTCCACAACCATCTCTCTCATCATTGCTAAACGCACTGGTATGACCGCTACCCTTTTCAACAAAGCTCGCGCGTCTCCTAACGGCGTCTTAACGACCTATGGCTTGGTTGAAGGACCCTACGGTGGTATCGACCGCCTCCACTCCTATGGTACAGTCGTTCTCTTCGCCGCTGGTGTAGGCATAACCCATCAAATCGGCCACGTCCGCGAACTGCTCCAAGGTCACCGCGCCGGCACAGTCGCAACTCAAAAAGTCGTCCTGTGCTGGTCCGTCAAGAACACCGAGACCCTCGAATGGATCCGCCCTTGGATGGATGAGATCTTGCAAATGGGCAACCGCAAGCAAGTGCTCAAAGTCCTGCTCTTCGTTACACAGCCAAGGAGTGCGAGAGAAGTTGTTTCCCGCAGCGAGACTGTGCAGATGTTCCCCGGGCGCTGCAATCCGGCTGTCATACTGGGCAAGGAGCTGCCGAATAGGGTCGGCGCGACGGTGGTGACGGTTTGTGGACCAGGGGCTTTTGCGGATGAGGTTAGGGGGGCTGTCAGGGGTGTTGTTGGTGAGGGGGCTACAGTTGACTTTATCGAGGAGTCTTTCACCTGGTGAAGTCATAGGAGGGTTAGGGGAAGAGGTACGTAGGAGGAGGGCTCATAGCATAGCCAGTTGCATGAACTCTTTTCCGATCCACAATCATCCAAATCTCAAATTTTCAATCCTTCAGGAACCTTCTCATAACTTTTACTAGTATGTGACTATCCTTCAGCGATATGCGCTTTTCAGCTTTCTCGCGCTGATGCGGCTACTTCTGCATAGGCGCTATGCGAGTGCCATCATCTCTGATTTCTATACCATCTTCAGGCAAGTCTGCACTAGAATAAAACCTTTCAATCGGTTCACAGCAATTAGTGTGATGACCGGATCTTGGATCTTGCTTGCCCTCCCTCTTCTTCTCATTCCGAGCCCCAGACTTTCATGCCCGTTTTCAGTCCTTCCATCTAATCCAGCTAGTCCTCCTCCTGGTTGTTAAAGGGATTCGCGATCTCCTCGCTTCCATCCAGTGGGCTTATAAGTACGAGCAGTGTTCCGCGAGCCACTATGAGGCCAAGGGAGCGGGTGGATGTGTTGCCTTCGTCATCTGTAGCCAATACCCGTCAGCAGGTGCAATGCAGGATAACAGTGCAAACTTGAGAAGGAGTTGGAGGGAGCGCAAGCCGGGACGGACGTACCTCTCAGCATCTCCTGAACATCATCAAGCACCAGATTCATCAACTGGTCGTGACCCTTCAGAGTCCCTTGTACTATTCCAATCACACAAATCAGCATCTCGCCCAAGCCAAACTCAGCTTACTGCACGCCCAAGAACAAAGCATCAGGCAAGTGTCCAACTCACTCTCCCTCCCCCCATTAAACTTTACCATAATCTCTTTGTCCATATACTTGGCCAAATCTAATATATTTTCTTTCTTCGGCTTCTCAGCACCTTGTGTATGTCCTCCCCCTCTTCCACCCCCTCCACGACCTCGCTCACCGCCTCCTCGTCCTCCTCCTCCTCCTCCCCCACGGCCTCTGAAGTTGCCTCTCTCAGACATAGAAGCGGCGCATGCGTTGCGATTGGTGGTGGTGTAATAATCGAGAGCACCAAGAGGAAATGCGGGTGGGTGGAGTGGGGGCTAGAATGTGACTGGATGCGTTGGACTGAGTTTCTTTGTCGTTTTCTTACTTCCCATTACATACCCGTTCTCCGTACTAAATAGGCAGCTAATCGGGTTTTACATGCCTGCCCTAAGGCTGAGTATAAGGTTGAAGCGAGGTAGATGCAGATTTTGGGTTTGTGGACTCTGGGATCTTAGAATCAGTAAGTAAGATGGATCCTTCATTATGTTCAAGTACGACATCTATTGTGACCATCTGTGTCTTTATGCCATAGTTGTCGTCGTTATTGGACATGTTGTTTGGCTGACAGTTTTCCAAACGCTTAGCAGCAGCCCTACCTTGGTACACACTAACATTAGCCGATACATAAATACCGTCTTTATAGTACGCTATTAATGCTTACCGATACATGCTCCGATTTTAGCAAGGTAATCAATAATGGCACTGGTTGGATGGGGTAAGACAAGCTCACCTGCGCGAAAACAGCGCCCACAGCCGATTGCCGGCCGAGGGTGGAAATCCTCCCCAATCCAATCCACTGCAACCTTTGTCCGAAGACGCGCAGTGCTCTTCTTCGCCATTCTTTTTCGTACGATCTGTATATCCTTTACGTTGTCCTCTTCATCTCTTTCCGTCTTCTTTGTTACAGAAATATGGGCCGCCATTCTTGAAACAAAACCTCCGACCCCAGGAAACTTTCCGCTCTCCACCCCCTCCCACCGCTCAACCTCGGTACATCAGCCCTTCCGACGAGGTCAGCTCTTGGGGAAGCAATTAGGCAAGAACCCACAAACAGCTACAATGAACCACATGGGTTCACCTCCCTCCATACCAGCAGACCACTCCTCTACTAAGCGAAAGCGCAGTCTGTCGGGTGAGGAACCTAATCGACAGCCCACACCTCCGGCCAAAGTGCCGAAAACGAATGCAAATCATCTACAGATCAACTATTTAGCTCGTCAATACCAAGAGATTCTCCCTCTGATCTCACCTGAAGATGCCCTCCCATCCATACTATCCCTCATTTCCGACTATGATGGTGTCCTCCACCGCCACGAATCCATGGCCGGCAACCTCGGCGCTAGGCCTCTCGGTCCCATCCTCATCCAACGCTTCGAACGTATCTTTGACGGCCCACCACGCGTGCTCAAAACCCACGGCAAAGAAGGCACATCCGTCGGCTGGCTTGACGTTGTCGAATTTGCCCGCAACAAACCGGAACAATTCAATCTGGAGAAGATGAGAGAGGGGAACAGGGTCTGCCAGTTCTATACGAAGCAGTGTCGGGTGGAGATCAGTGAAGAGGATTATGTACTGATTAAGAGTGGGATGCCGGAAAAGTTGATTCCGCCGCAGCCGATTGGCGAGGATGAGGAGAAGGAGTTGGGGACGTTGGAGATTTTGGAGAAGAACCTGGGTGGGGTTGTGCAACTAGCTGATCAAGGCGAGTTCTGCGTATCTACATGGGGAATGATCCGAACTTAACTGACCATGAGCAGTGTCGGCGAGGGCCAGACAACTAAACCATAGACTAAAGAATCGGAAGAACGCCATACTTGCAAGGCGAGAAGCTGAAGCCGTGACCGTCGAAGGAGCTCCCAGCCCGTCTATCCGTGGATTCGATTTGGGACAGCCGAGGTATCATATCAATCATCAAACCAACGGAGGGAAACCACGCGCTTCAGCCTCGCCAAAGTCCGGGTTCATTGCCGTCAATTCCAGGTATCAGCTTCCAGACGACCGGCCAAGTCAAAACAATGGCTCGCCACAAGAGTATCCTCGGACTGCTCAACCACTCACCAACGGAGGGATACCCATACATGGAGCTTCAGCAGCGACGCGAGCCGAACTTCTCACCAAATTTCACACCAGCAGTGATCGCTCATCGGGCGAATTCGAGGCAGCACGTCGTTCCTCGCTTGCGACTTCCCGGCCATCCCTCCCTCCAAAGCCTAGAAATTCGTTCAAACCGTACGCGGATTCGATGGAGTATGCGGGAGCACTCCTCAGCGCGGCCTCCCCAGTGCCAATACCGAACACTCCTGCTTCACTTTTACCATATGTCAAACCCTCGCCAACCGATCGTTTCGAGGATAGCGGACCATTTAAAGCTGATATGATGGCACGCATGGAGCAGCTTAGCCGCGGTGATAGGGTACAACCGCCCTGTGACCGGTGCCGACGGCTACATATGGATTGTCTGAAAAACCTGACTGCATGTATGGGTTGTACGAAGAAACATGCAAAATGCAGCTGGAAAGACGTGGAGGAGCAGGAATTGAAAGATCATCCGTTCATACTACGTATTCGTAAGGAGGAAGACGGGAATAGTGAAGGCGAAGGGAGCCGAAGTGGGGGGGATGGATCCAGGAAAAGGCAGTACAGTCAGGAGCGGGGAGTACGAGATGAGGAACTTTTAGGGGAAGATACCGGTGATGAGGAAGGTGAATTGGTCGAGAAACCTGCGCAGGCGCGACGGTACAGCAGCGTGCAACCCACATCACCGCCTACCGTTGCGGTTGCAAAGGAGACCCTTCCGGAAAGGATGGAGGGGTTGCAACCCTGTGCTCATGCCTCACCTGCGCTAGCCACCCAGTCTACAACGACTGAAGTACGGGAAGAAACCACGAACGTGGACGGTTACAATGGACGTGCGACTGCTTCGCCACCAAAGCTTCCAATCTCAGACCCAGATATCGACCTGATTTATAGCACATCAAGGGATACAGCCCACACATCGCCTACCCCAGCACCCAGTTATCAAGCGCCAGAAGCCAACATGCATCGGCACAAAGCCAACGGCGTTACGTCCTACTCGGAACCAAAAAAGGGGAACATTTACACCCAATTCAACAGTGCTACGCGCCAAGACCTACCAAAGCCAGCCCAAGACAAGCCTTCATGGGTCTACACCGCCGGCAGTGAGCCCGTACAACCTGTAACAAAAGCAGTGGACGAACCTCAACGGTCGCCAGAACCACAGGTGTCAAACTCCTCAACACAGGCCACGATGGAGCAGAGCCACCATGATGAACATGAAGAGAAGAGGGAACATTCACCGCCGCCAATGCCAAGAGAGACTTTGCAAAGGCCGCCATCGTCGACGCCTGGTGGGACGGTGCCAGAGATCGGGGTGCAGAGGATGGGAGTGCAGAGAATGGGTATGCAGACATGACATGACATGGGGTCACTTCAACATCCTGGGATGGCTTGGGGTGGGGAACACTAGCTGCTGTTTGCTATACAATGTTTGACATAATGGCAGCGAAAGGGACCGGGCTGGGCAATGTGGGCGGAACGTGAGTGGCGGGGGCCTACGTAGGGTAATCTTGATATAGTGATCATGCTGTGGCCACCAAAACAATGAGATAACATTTTAGACTCAGGTCCGTCGAAGGATGCCATAATCTTAGTCGACCATGACAAACCACCCGCACCAAACTGTCCTCCTGGGGGGTCTACATAAACAACGCTCACCCCAAACATGTTTCCAGTCTTATTATGCTCACCCGGTTCTCTGGTCGCAACTCCTCCAGCATTGATTCGCTACTTAGCCTCTCTCAGCCTCATCGAAGGTCGGGCTTTGCCAGCGCAACAAACGCCCTTTTGCCCCTACAAGCCGAGCAGGGCGCTCGTTCGCGTCAAAATGGATAGCACTACAGCCGATTGGAACAACTTTCTCGGCTCTGGGGTCTACTCCGAAATCGTCTCGACCGACTTCGGCTTGCAGGGCTGTGAGGCTGGGTAGGCTTTTTTTTTACTGGCTAACCAAGGGGCGTACAGTCAGCAAACCTATTTGCCTGGTTTTGAGCAAGCTCAAGAGCCGCTATCTGGACATCAATCCTTCGCTCAGGATTGGTCCCACCTTGGAATAGCCTCTTCCGCAACCCAGACGCAGTATGGCGTTGTGCGTCACCGAGCGACGATGCACGATATGCCAGCATGGGTTCAGCAGTCCATGGTGCAACAGGACGCCTGCGACGCTACCGCAACAGCTAGCTTCCCGGTTGCTGAAGACACGTGGGATAGTAGCAGCCTCCTACCTGCGGCAGATCTCAATCATGTGGCGCATGATGTCGTTGGAACTGCATGCCTTAGCGTCGGAGACGATGAGCACGTCAGTCTCGGTAGACAACCATTCCCGAACTCTACCTCGGAAGCCCCGGCTGTTTCTGAGGAAGGAAGGAGGGGCGATGCCGGAGACTCTGGCTCCGCTCGCACATGTTCCTGCCCTGTCTGTCTGGATCTGCACACTATAAATTGGTTCTCATCCAAAGCTCCAAGCCCTGGCTTGGTGCCGAGAGCACAATATTCCTGCCGTCTACCAGCCTGTGACTGGATGGCCCGAGGTCTTGACGGCGCGACAGTGAATCGCTACACCAATGCACTATCCCGGCACGAGAAGTCCCATTTCAGCCAAAAGGGACGATTCATTTGCTTCGAAGAGCATTGCTAGTATGTCACCAACCGTTGGGGCGATCTGACACGGCATTATAGCTCTAAGCACTGTACAAATAATGCTCGTAGGTTCACGTGTCCTGTGCTTTGGTGTAAGTATAGCCGCGGTGGGTTTGCACGAAAGGACAAGCTTAAAAGCCATGTGGAAAAATGTTCACCGTGGGCAGGCTGAGTCTGGTGTCAGAGCGGGCCAGGTGATCAGACCAAAGGGCGAAGACGGTCTTTAGATAGTGAGATAGACGGGTTGGGTCCAGCTAGGGAAGTGGAAGAAGCTCGCAGAAAGGTTTGCCTAGGTTGACACACTTGCTTTGCATGATAGTCTTTATATCATTCGATTCTTTACACGATCTGGAACCGCGGCTGCTGAAGTCTACAAATGCACATGTTTACTTAATATCAGTATAGCAATACAAAGCGCGAATACTTCCTTCACTACTCGAGACAGTTGAGCTGTCAAAAAACTTATTCATACCGTGTCCCCTTCATCTATCAGCCTGCCCAAGGGATCAAGGATTTTGGAATGGCCGCGAATAGCCATTGCTGCATTGAGAGATCGAGATGGACTACCTTCGCAGCTGTCACCTTCACTCTTGGATGGATGTCTGCTCCTTTTCCTATTTCACACCTGAGATTTCTGGCCTCGGATGAGCAATGCTGACTCTGGTTTGTGCGTGGGCGCTCTCGACTCCAGCTCTGACTTCCTTAGTTTGAAAATCTGGGGTCGTATATCGCAGCGACGGTCTGTGTCAGAACTCCAACGGCCAGACCATACAGGGGGCAGCATGTACGGATCCGGCTTGACAAAGTCCGGAATGCATCAAGTCATGTACCATTGACAATGCAAAATGGCCCAACTGGAGGTAGACAATGATTTTAAATCACTCAGTGTGACGACTGAAGCAATTGCTGCGAGGAGGGCGAGCAGGCCACATCATGTCGCAGTAGTGAAAACGGTGCCTGGGTGGTCAATGGAACAGAGAGCAATATCGATCCCTTTGCGGCGCACCGCATCCCCTCCACACTATCCTCTTCTATGAAATTTCAAGAGTCCTCTACCACTTCCAAGGCCTCTATGACCGGCCCCCGAACGTCTTCCTCCCATTTCACAAAGAGCGGTTATTGTGACAGTATCCGCTTCGCAAGCACCACTCTTCCCTCCTCGCATGCCGCCAATACTACGGCAACAACAGGAGGTGCTGTTTGAGGAATCGCTGGTTTGGCCCTCATTATCGGAGCTTGCTGCTTCTTCTTCCTGCTCGGGTGGCGAAAGTCGCAAGAGCTATGGCTTGCAAGGGGCTTCACATATGCTGGAGACATCAACAGAGACGAGCTCTTTGGCGGAACTTTTAGCAGGCCGGAGATGAAGGGGTCTTTGACGTTGAACCAAGAATTAGACAATCTACAGGCAGCTGAACGAGGTTCCTGGTCAAACATATCTCCGCTATTGCTACACCGTTCTCGGACAAACGATCAGATACTTCGTTGCACGTTCTGACAGATGCTCGGTCAGAAATTCTCTCATCCATATCCCTAATCTTCTCTTCCAAACGAGACGGTCGATCAACCTTGTCATCACCAGCTTCCCTAGTACCCCTATTTTCGTAATCATTGGGAAACTAGAAAATTAGCATTGGGGCTAGTACCCCCTCACCCAAAATCCTACTATAGATATACCCACCATATTATTATTTCTATAACCCTCCCTATACCTCGCTATCGTTAAATTAAAGCTAGAATTACTCGTTAGTATAGAATCCTTAATATTTCTTTTGTCGGGCCTTCTGTTGATCTATAGAAGGCCTTTAAAATATTATTTTCTTTACTATTCGACGTCTATAAGAATTATATTTAATACTATATTGTTAATAGGCTTACTATTACCTCTATTACTTTCGTCGAGAGCGTTAAAAAGAGTATCGTATATCGTATTATCGATAATATTCTCGCCTTTAATACCTATATAGCGCTTATTATAATTAAAAGAGAGTAATTATTTAAGATATCTTAAGTAGTAAGAATTAAATTAAGAGTTTTTATCGAGAGTAAGTTATAATTATATTTAAATAAGATATAATATAAACTCTTCGATTAATTCGATCTTATTATAAGCGTATTTACGATCTCGAAGATTTTACGCTTTATAAAGATTAATAGAAAGAGTTTTTATTATAAGGTCTTAAAACGCTTATAAATCTATTGTAATTATTACTTTCTAAAGATTAGTAAGTTTATTTATAATATATTTATTTTTCTAGATAAGAGCGTCGTTAATAAGTATATAATATAAAGAAAGTAAGCTATATAGTCTTCGAAATTCGATTTATAATTTAGATTTTAGTTAAACGTTTTAAGCGTTATAGCGTCTTACTAATATATTACTTAGATAAAATCTTTTATTATTATATTTATTAGAATAGTATTAATAATATTTATTTTAAGTAGTTTCTTAGAAACGAAGTTTTCTCTCGATATAACTTATTTCTCAATTTAAAGTTGATTATCGTTATAAATAATTATTTTATATATTATATCGCTAATATTAGATAAATATATAAGAATAAAGACGTTATACTCTTATATTTACCTCTCTATTCGTCGAACTTTAATCTTATTAAAGAGTTTTTTTCGATTTTTAAGGCTTAATTAAAGAGGTATTTTTAAATTAGCGAAGGATATATTATTTAGATAATATTTAAAGCTAGCTATATAGGCGTATAGTATAAGAGTTTATATTAAAGCTTACTTCGCCTATATTAATATATCGATAAACGATTATAAGAAGAAGAAAGAAGAGTTATTTAGAAGATAAGGGCTATTATTCGAGTAGCGAGAAAATCTAAAGAATAGAGTTTTAAGTCTTATCTTAGCGTAGTTCGAGAAAGAAATTCTTTTAACTAACGTTGCTATATCAAAATACTATCGATTCTCTTAATTTTTTTATTAACTTATAGCGTATATTTAATTTATAATTTTATATTATTTAAATAATTTAAACTATATAATAATTGGTTAATTTTAAATATATTAAATATTTGAGATTTCTATAACTTTTGCGGGGCCGGCGCTAATTATCGATTATCGAACTTTATTTTTCTAAATTTCGATATATAGCTATTTAGACCTTCTTATTCTTATTCTCTTTCTTATTTATCTTCTTATTACTTCTATTTATAGTCTTATCTTTTAGTAGAATAGCTTTAATAAAAGTATTTAAAGAAGTACGTAGTTAATGATTAGCTTTCTTTATAGAGGTAATAATATAAAGCCGTAATATCTCTATAAAGTTCTTTTACCTCGTCTTTTAATCGTATAATTATTTCTCTTAAAATCTCTATCTTTTTTTTAATTAGAAGGCGATATATAACGTATTTACTTTAGTATATAGAACTCTACTTTAATCTTTTTTAGAGTGTTTATAAAGGCCGCTTCTTTACTAAGATTTTTCTAAATTTATTAGATAAAATAAGCTCTTCGTAGTTTATCTATATTACTCTCTATTTAAATTAAATTATTTAACGATTAAAGCGCTTTAAAGAGTAATTAATTAGTTATATCTAGATAAGATAATAGCTTAATTAGATTAGATAAGCGAGGCTAAATAAACTAAGTTTAAATATACGCGTATTATTATAAGAAAAAGATTTAAGACTATTAAAGTATAGACTAATAAAGTGAATAACTCTAATATTATTATTACTGAAATTGCTACTATTAATATAGATTATACTATTATTACTAAAGACTTTACGCTAGCGAGAATAAGATATTTAATTTATTAAGTAATATATTAATTAATATAGAGATAGAAGTAGAAGTAAGAGTATTAATAATTATATAAACTTTCTTTTAATTGATTTAACTTTTTTATTAATAGCCTTTATCTATTTAGCTTAATTCTATCGAGTTTTTAATCGCTTCTATATTTTTATAAGCGAATTTATAATAATAATATTAGATTTCTTCTTTATAGTGTCGGACCAGCATAGGTGCGATATTAGTATGGGTGAGGTAGAACTAGGATAATAAGGCTACCGAACTATGTATGTAGGAAGGAGGCATGATATAGTAGGAGATGCCTCCGCCAGGCCCGCTAGCCATGGGGCTGAGTGGTGTGTCAAGGGTACGCTCGTAACACTACCCCCTCTCAAATAGCCATGGCCCCCATGGCTGGTAGACCGGAGATGCACGCCCATTGCTTGCCCTGTGTCTCCAAACATCCATAGTCCGTGTAGGCCTCGACCGGAGACGATTTGCAGAGGTGTAGTAGTTTGTCCTGCAAGATCCCAGATATTGGCCATATCTTGCCTGCGTCCGCAAGATTCCCCGGTTCTTCTCCTTGCCATAGTCCTTCGGTAGAATTAAAGAAAATCCAACGCATGCATTCACTCCCACCGGTTGCGCCTGGCCTGGGAGCTACACTGTAGATTTGCGCTGTGTCTCCCATGCTCTTGCCATCAAGTCCATTCATTACCTTTGTCGTAGAGTTTGATAGGAGGTAGGTGATAAGAATCGAATATGTTGAATGCCATTTGGTAGCAGGCTCACTATGTGTGTTGTCGACATGCTCGTGAAGAGGTCGAATCGTAGTCGTTTTGGGGCTGTTCCCATCGCCATTGTAGCAGGCTCACTATGTGTGTGTTGTCGAGATGCTCAGTAAGAGATCGAACGTTTGCTGCCCTTGTAGCAGGCTCACTGTGAGTGTGTGGGTGATCGGCGATGTGGAGGAAGATATCTTGGTGTAGATGTAGGTGGGTTTGGGTCGGAATTTATGATGTGTTGAATGTAGGTAAAGATGGAGCGGAGAGATCTCTGGAGATGCGGAGCGGGAAGAATTTCTTGTATTCGATGTAGGGGACTCGTTTTTGATGGATTGGGCTACCGTTGATGGTGTAGGTTGTTTGATGTAGGTTCTTTCGAATGATGTAGGTAGTTTGTGATTTGTATATGTGGTGGGGCTTCTGTATGGTAGAAATACCCAGCGTTTTTTTATCAGGCTCGGTCGCTTGCTCCGAGCAGAAAGTGAAAAACCCGTCAATTCTCTTCGCCGGGGGGTGTACGAAGGAGCCTTATTATAATGTCAGGACCAGCATAGGTGCGATACCAGTATGGGTGAGGTAGAACTAGGATAATAAGGCTACCGAACTATGTATGTAGGAAGGAGGCATGATATAGTAGGAGATGCCTCCGCCAAGGCCCCTAGCCATAGGGCTGAGTGGTGTGTCAAGGGTACGCTCGTAACATATAGTTTTATTTTTTCTAGTAATTTAATCGTTAGTAAGTAGATAATATAAATTTTTAAAATCGTCTAATTATTAATAGTAATGCGATCTTTTTAATAATCGAGCTTATTATATAACTATAGCTTTATAATCTTATAACCTTTAGATTTAAGCTTTCTATTTAATTTCTTTATCTTCTTTATATATTAAATTTACTTAGCGATAGCACTATTAGATTAAAGCGCCTTCTTCTTCTTCTTCTTATTAAATTTAAATAATTTAAAATCATTTAATATAGTATTAAAGTTATCTAAAGAGATATTCTAGTTAATAATTCTACTTTTTTCTACTTTTTTAAAAAGACTCTTTTATAATAAAGGTTTCTAATTTAAAAAATTTTTATTTAAGATTATAGATATATATAATTCTTATAATAATCCTCTTTCTTTTTCTTAACTAATTATTATTTTATTAGATTATTAATATTCTCTTACTTAATAATATCGTCGTATTAATTATTTATAGTCTTAATATTTTTTAAGAATAAAAGTATAGTAATAGCGCTCTAAAGAATTACTCTATAATTATTCTTTTTATCTTCTATTTAACCTCTTAAATAGTCTTTAAATTAAATTCGTAGAAATCGAATTATTTAAAGATAATAAAATAAGTATATATCTTCTTTTCTTTTTATAGAATACTCGTATTAATTAAATAGACTAATAGTTTTATAGAAGAATTAATAGATTAAAATTAAATGATAGAAAAGAATTAATATTAATTATATTAGGCTTATCGATAAATAGAGAGAGTTTTTCTTTAACTTAAAAGATTTTTTCGATTTAGGTCTCTCTTTAATAGCGTCGACGACGATTTAGACGGTCTTATTATTAAATCTATTAGGTCCGCTTATTTTGTGTACTGGTAGCTATATTTGACGACAGCGAGGTGTGGGGAGGGTTGTGGGAATAATAATATGGTGGGTATGTCTATAGTAGGATTTTGGGTGAGGGGGTGTAGCTCCAATGCTAATTTTCTAGTTTCTGTTGAAAGTAGGATATCAGACATGTTAGAATGAATGATTGTTACTGAAAGACTGATTGTTGATTCATGGGATGTACGGATATTTATGTACATAAAATAGGTGGCTGATGGTGGCTGGTAATTACTAGCCCTGGTAATACGCGACATGTATGCGATAGCCGAAGGGGCTGGTATTGTAACACTCCCCGACAGCCCCAGAAGCTACATTCCCTAAACCCCAGCACACCGTATCCCATATCCAGTTTTCTATCCACGCTTTGAATTCGGGATTGATTATTTGCCCGGCCTCGTTAAACCTATAAAAACCCCGATAGGGAAAATAGGAAGAGTGCCGGGGCTTTGATACCCGTTTCGGGACCTCGAATGAAATGAGGGTTTTGACGTTTTTGCCCGTATTGTTTCGGGATCTCGAAATGATTGTTTTGCCCGTATTGCTTCGGGACCTCGAATGAAATGAGGGTTTTGACGTTTTGCCCGTATTGTTTCGGGACCTCGGAATGATGTGAGGGTTTTTGATTGATTTGCCCGTATTGTTTCGGGACCTCGGATGTGTGGGGTTTTAGTTTTTTTTTTTAGGGATTGAATGGCGACAGCCCCTCGTCGGTGGTACGAGCCAAAAATGGGCTGTCGCCTGAGGTGTATCTATTTATAAACGATCACCAAGACTTAGTTTGATATCCTGTTAGGAAGTGCAAGGATGTTTGATACTGCCCTGCCCGCTTCCGCTCATAACCTGTTGAAAGTAGGATACCGACATGTTAGAATGAATATTGTTACTGAAAGACTGATTGTTGATTCATGGATGTACGTATTTATGTACATAAAACAGGTGGCTGATGGTGGCTGGTATTCTACCCTGGTATCGCGACATGTTCGATAGCCGAAGGGGCTGGTATTGTAACGTTTCCCATGATTACGAAATGGGTATCCGTGGAAGCCGGGTAGGAGAAGTGAAAACCCAGGCGGGGAAACATCCCCCCACCTGCGGAGCACGCGAGTATCAAAGCACTCAGTTGACCGAGGATAGACATTCTTCCTTTACTAGTACATACGATGCCTAAACATCTCACGCTCGCAGTCTCCCAATCGCGCACCTTGCCAACAACAGCAGCCACCATCTCCTCGCTTTCAGAGACAGCGCACCACGCTGCTCAAGCAGGCGTTCACCTTCTGCTGTTCCCCGAAGCCTACCTAGGTGGCTACCCTCGCACCTGTTCGTTCGGCGCCTCCGTCGGATCTCGCACCGATGGTGGTCGCGAGCAATTCCTACATTACTTCCACTCCGCTGTCGATCTGGGAGACACCCCCAGAGGCGCCGGGCAGGATTGGGTGGATAAAAGGTTAGATGTGGCCAAGGGAAAGGGATACAGAGGAGATGGAACACGGGAAAGACTGGAGCAGGTGGCCAAGAACACAGGAATTTTTCTGGTTGTTGGACTTGTCGAAAGATCTGGTGGGAGCCTATACTGCGCAGTTGTCTATGTCTGTCCGAGAGAAGGCTGCCTGGGCAAAAGAAGAAAAGTCATGCCGACAGGCAGTGAACGACTGATTTGGGCGCAAGGATCTCCGTCTACCTTGAGGGCCATCACGACCGATATCGCGGGCGTGAAGCTCACGCTTGCGGCGGCAATATGCTGGGAGAATTACATGCCCTTGCTGAGATTTTCACTCTATTCGCAGAATGTCAATCTCTACCTCGCGCCTACTGCTGATGCCAGGGAGACATGGTTACCTTTGATGCAGACGATTGCATGTGAGGGGCGGGCTGTTGTGCTGAGTGCGAATCAGTGCGTCAGGAGAAAGAATCTACCGAATTGGATCACCGGCGAACAAGAAGCAAAGGGCGGGGAAGGAGAGGCTGATAGCATGAAATACTCTACAGACGACAAGAATGGACGACGTGCTTCCATTGTCACCAAGACGGAGGATAACCATGAGATTACATGGCCTTCTCCCGATTCCAAACTGTCCTCGAAACCCACACCGCCCGACAATAAGACCACCAATGGCACATCACCCACCCACCTCATCACGATCCCAGCAGACTCCGAAACCGTGCAGATTCCGAATGCAGTCCAAATAGAAACACCCGACAACCACGTTCTCGCTCTCCCCTCCTCAGGCACTACCCGAAATCAATCTTCCGCGTCCACCACCCAAGCCCAAGATACAGACGACGAATTCGTCTCCCGCGGCGGCTCCTGCATCATCTCTCCCACCGGCTCCATCCTCGCTGGACCACTCTGGGACGTAGAAGACGGGGGACTGTTGACGGCAACCATTGACTTCGAAGACTGCGAACGTGGAAGACTGGATCTAGACGTCGCTGGGAGCTACGGCAGGAACGACAGCTTCGAACTTCGAGTCGCGGGCCTGGATCTCAGCCCGCCGCCTTGACGCGTGGGCGCTTTGGGCTAGACGAGGACTGAATAAGGGTGTTCCGTCGCGGAGAGGCCTTGTGACTGATGATGCAGCCTCTGGCGAAAGAGGGTGAAGCGATATCGCGACAGACCACTGCGGTTCTGGCAACGTCTCCGGAGTCGCCTGAGGGAGAACATTCGCTTTGATCGCAAGCGGGTGTGCTTGATGCACTCAAAAGCCTCGAAGGTTGCCCACTGCGGTGTGATGCTCTCGTTCCTCCGCAACTTCAGGCGTCGAGGCTAAGGCTCCTCCCGAATGTATTATTTCCTGGTATCGCAATCCCTGTGAAAAGGGATCAATCAAGGGAACGCACCACCTAAGGGTGGATTACCTGAGTATCTTTGGCGGTGACCGAACGGTGACCGAATCTTGGCGGACAGCTTCAGTTGGAGTAAAACATGGCAATCGGCCATCTTTGTATAAGAGCTGGATCGCGCAGGAAGCGAATGCAGATATGTCGACATCATGATGTTATGGACGACGATTGTGGCTGTCGAGCGAGGGCAGGTTGATACGAGAAGCCGTTTGACGTGCAGGTCTTGGCAGCGCAGAGGAAAAGGGAAAGCTTTTGCGAACATACCCGTGCGTGCCGTGGAACCGAACATGACAGGAGTGGGAAGATAAGCGATCCCGAACCATAAAGTATTTGATATTCATTCATAGTGTGTGTACTCCTGCATCATCGATCCCGAAAGTAGATGACTTTGAGTCATAGTGCGTATATTCTTCCATCATCGATCTAGCTGTCCCTCCGCAAGTAGATGACATTGAATCATTGTGCGTGTACTCACTCTCCCATCGTCGATCCCTAGCTATCTCTCCTACTCACTCCTCAGGCTCTCTCCCTCCTCTCCTCTGCATCTCCGTCTCATATTCGTCGTCACTTTCTAGGTCGATTTCCAAAGGCTTCGTGACGGGGTGAAAATCGATACCCTCTTGCTCGAGCCTCTTGAGCCTTTTCGCCGTGGCCGGTCTGGACCGGTTGACGCTGAAGACTTTGATGCGGTGACAGGATGATGTGACGTGAAGGTCCCAGTTCCACGTACTTCTCACATAGGTTGGCTGCGTGTTCAGGGCATTGTCCCAACATCTGGCAACCAATTCGAGCCTGAATCATTTCAGTGTCAGTATACTGCCACAAAGTCAAAAGTTTGAGACATGGCACTTACCACCCCTCTGCATCCACCGGCAAATCAATCTCCCACAACCTCCACGCATGAAAGTATTTCTGACTCAATTTCTCGTACGGCGTCTCGTACCACACGCTGCCTCCATCTCCACTCACTTCTACGCGTTCGGGCCAGTGCCCGCCACCGCTGTATGCCCAGCCGCGCATCTTGATTGCGCCATCGTGGATGATGACGGCTTTGTCGATGGGAGAAATAATGGCTGAGGCAACGGGCATGTCTTGTATAGAGAACCCTGAACTATACGATGCGTTGTGTTTGCCGGCTTGGGGTGTGTAGTAAAGGTACTCCTTCTTCTGAACAGGCGCAGTGGAGGGGTGCGGGATCGCGGTTATGCGAGCGAGCCATTTGACACTTCTGTATTGTGCATGATCTAGTCAGCTCCAAAAACGTATACAACATCGCTTGGGACAACGTACCTTGCTCCAATATACCCAAACACCACTGCTCGTAACGGGTAGCCATGGATCTTTGGTAACGGCTTCCCATTCATCTCCCAGGCCAACATGACCTCGTGGACGCGAACCTTCCGCCAAGGAACTGAGACAACGTAGTTGTAGACTTGACCCTTTTTGAAGTAGGTGTCGACACCCATGAACTCGATGTGCCCGGCACCTTCTTTCAGGCCCCCGCAGTGTTTGAGCACTTTCTTTAGGCTGACGCCCGTCCAGCGTGCGGTGCCAATGGCGCCTTCGCCCCATCTAACTGCGGTTTAGCAATCGCCGAGGCCCATCAGTGAGACATGTGGAGGACTGACGGTGCGTTAATCAGCTCATCTCCATCACCAGGGTACTCTTGGATTTGCTCAATCCTGCGAGTCCCGGAGCATTGTATAGTCACCACCGCGGTCTGCCTCGGAAACAAGTTCTCATTCTTCAAATCCTTCAGAGTCAATCGTGTCGGATTGTTCACCATCCCGCCAATGTCCAAGCAGTATTCATTCTCGTCGATAACAGGTATTCCGCCGTGGTTGCGCACGAAATGGTCTTCGTTCCTTGTAAGGGTAGTTCCGACAAGACGATCCTAGGTCCTCCTGTTAGGTACAGCTCAATAGAAAAGCGGAGCCTATCAATAGCAGACCCTTGGAGGTTCCCCATTATATGGAAAATCAAGAACGTGAATCATATCCTCTGCTTTTTCTTCTTTCACAATGTCCCAGCTTTCATTGGGAAGATTCTCGAGTGTCGGCCCTAGAGCCGCGTGGTATTGTTTCCATCGTACTCCTTCAAGTCGAGGGTTCGTGCTTGATAAGGGTTTCAACTGGAACTCGGGCACCTGCAAGGAATAATGTTGATTAGGCATGGGCTAGCAGCATGAATGTTCAATGGCCTTACGCCAGCGAATTTGTGTTGTGATAGTATTTCTGCTGCCCTCTTTGCCTTGTCGGGATATTTCTCCCATTCGACGTAACCATGCCAGCCCTTTTGTTCCTCAGCAAAGTAAACTTGGTCGGACTTGGGCATGGGCAGCTGGGGGCGTGTGGGTAGCTCGGGCTGATGCTGGGGCAAAGCATCTGTTTTATTGTCAAGCATGGTGAATTGAAGGAGCAGTGTAATTGACCCTCGGTCAGGGAGGTCCAAGGTAACAAGATGGCCATTGGCGGTTTAATATTCAAACTTTTCCAATCATGTACAAGCTTTATCCTGTAATTTTAGGAATGACGATAGGATGACTGCGGGAGTTGGTTATGGCAATTGGCAACTGGCAAATGGCAAATGGCAATTGGCAATTGGCAAATGGCAATTGTGTGCCACATTGTGCGCCGTCCCGTCCCGGAGGATCGTGATGGATGATATACTCCGTACGGGGAGATGGGCACTGGGCACCAAAAGTCCTGGACAGCGCCACTTACAGCCCTAACCCTACCTCCGAAAGGCGACCTAGTAGTGAAGGTCCCAGAAGTGTTTGCTTGGAGCGCCTAGTTTGAAACTTGAGGGACGGACCTCTCTTGGAGTTATGGGGCATAGGCCCCAAGCTGGGCTCAGGCGGGGTCCGTTATCCGAGATCTTGGCGCAGAAGTCTTGGCGTCCAGGACTTTTGGTACGAGATAGTGGGGGAAGGTTCCCTCGATTGGCGTACTTATGGTGGATGCTTCTCTTCATCTTCAACCGAATCTCTTCACACACCTGCGAAGGAAGTTCCAAGCATCGTTTCAAGAATGGTTTCAAGAATTGTGGCATTGTCACTACATTGTCAGTGGTAGAAGATACTGTTGAAGGCTTGGCACCCGAAACGAGACATTTGAGACGCAGGTCGCCGGTGGCAATCTACTTTATAGGTTGGGGCTCTTGCGGCAAATATTAATGAATCTATTTTTAATAATAATGACAATTTACGAGTATGGTACTCTCATTAAGTATTATTAGAGAGGCAGTGAGTGTTGCAGGGTCTACCAATGAAACATACATTCGCCCTCGCTCCTCCAATCAACATCTACTCAGCTGACGACTCTCTCACATTCTCTGCCTTCCCTTTTCCTCCTCTTCCTCCTCCACCTTCTCCTACTTCAACTTCAACTTCAACTTGAACTTCAGCTTCAGCTTCAACTCCAACTTCGATTTCCTCATCTTCTTTCCCATCTATCACCCACAACCCAACATCTTTACCACACCACCTTTCACAAGCCAATCCAATCCAATCCACACACCCCGCACAATGCCTGAAACCACTCAACCCCTCCCATCCCAGCAGATGACCGCCCCCAACACAAACACGAACGAAGCATCGCACGCCTTGAACGAACAGCCCGTACGTCCACCACCAGCCCTCCTCAGGAATTGCCCGAAGACCTGCGCATCCGAGCGAAAAAGACCCTCGGCGAACAACCGTGCTGACCCTACCTGTGCTGCAGAAACCTCAAGAACCCATGACCATGAGCCTGCGCGGTGGAGGAGAAGGGGAGGATGTCTGCTGCGGCCTGTGCGTTTAAGACCTACCCCCCCCCCGTAACGCCCGGAGCGGGGACGGGCGCTAACTTTGAGGGACACAGCTGCGCCGGTCTCGCGTGCTTCGAGTGCCTCAATTGCTGCTGCTAGAAGTGTCGCATAGATGGTCGGGGGAGTGATACCCAGGGAATGATGAGGCCGGCTGTTTCCTACCAAAGCGTTGCTTGGTTCTACTTGTCTCATGCGTGGTGCGTGGCTCTTGAGAAATTGCTTGCTTCAGGATGGCGTTGAGCGTTGGTCGGAATAGAATCACATTTGCTATGCCCCATAACTCTATCAGAAACTTCGAGATTGGAAGATCTTTTCGGCATCATCTTCTTTGTTCAGAAGAAAGTAATCCTGACACACCATCTAGAGCCACTCGCCCTCCCTCCGTTCCAGAGATCCTTGCCCTCCTCCACCATGCCTCTACTCGCCCCCTTACCATTCCCGAAGTTTGAGGATGAAGCAAAGGGGTCAAAGTTCCCGCCAATGGCGGTCCCAGGGTTCAAGCCCTAGATGGAAATCTCGGTGCTCAGGCATACGTTCAGGCTTACAAAGAAACAACCTCCACATATGTTCTCTAGATGATGAATAGACATATGATATTCCTAGATTACAATCTCCTCTAGCAAAGCCGCACATCTAGACTCGGCAGTCACTCCTTCTACTCCACGTATCCCCAGTAGAGTCACCAGAAACGCCACTATCTCCACCATGGTCACCACCGACGTGGGCGAAAGAGTTGAACCTGCAGAACTGAACGGCCCTTCATCTAGAGCTAAGGCATCGTGGAAGAAGAATACCACGTCCTGGAGTCGGTGAGTCCAAGGATGATGGTATCTGCGCTGAAATCTTGGTGGGACCCTCGTTACGGCCTGGTATGGGTTTGGTGGAGGTTTTGAGGAGAGACCGCACGTCTCTGTGAGGGCTTCGCACACTTTAGATTTTGGCCTGTCTCTCCAAGCCTTTGTGCTGGTGAAGGCTGTCGTGAATCGAATGCCTTGGCTTTGGCTGTGGATTCGACGCTGACGGATCGTGGCTGTCGTTGCTGTATGTCATAGCTTGGATTGATAAAAATTTGGCGCAATGGATACAAATAGATAGAGACCCGGGGCGACGTCTCATAACCCAAACAAGCGTGCCTTCAATCGTGAAAGCGCAGGGTCACAACGCACAGATTTTACCAACTGCATGGTCTTCGCCTCCTAGTGCGTAAACTTTTTCGCTTGCGCCCAACGACATTCAAGATCAGAAGCCTCCATCAGCCAGCCCATACCATGAGGTCCAATGGCCATCACCGCCGAGCAATGTCAAAATTCTGGGTCTGTCTTATCGGCCATTCCTTACTCGCAGATGCTGGTAATGTGCCCACCCTCGTGCGCCTTAGAAAATAAATATCCCACTATCACTCTGGCAACATGCTCTTACCTACCGACCCATCCATCAAGCGACGCTTCAGTCATCCGTGCCATCCGTCATTGATTCTCCTTGGACGCACCAAGGGCTTCCTCCATCGTGTGCACCTCTGACTTTTGCGTAGTAGCCAACGTTGCAAATCATCAAAAGCCGTGCCTTGGTACTCTCGCTTCGAGTCTGTTCCTATTTGATTCTCCAACTGGTGGATAACATAAATCAGTCCGAGGCTTCCGTCGTATTCCGTGGTGGAGGGTGCCACTCTGGAGCAGGTGCGGAGAGTAAAGCACAAATATCCTGAGAATATGCTTCAATCAGCGGCCTCTCCTATCACGTTAGGTCATACCCGATTCTTACTTTTCGCCTCTTCCTGAAATCGTCGTACAGTCCCAGCCAAGCCTTCTTATCCCTACAATCATCTCCCCCTGCTCCAATCCCAAGCTTGCACTTTGGCATCTCATCCTGGATCATGTTGTGCGGCCACATAATCCAAGGTTTCGGTATGGGCCAGTCAGAGAAATGGACCAGACTTGCCTCCCTCAGCACCCTTTCAGGATCCCATCTCTCATGGGTGTTCCCTAAATAATTTCTGTGATCATCAACCCTGAATTCGCCGCTGAGTAGTCCAAACTGCCGATGCGGCAGCACCATAGCCGAGTCCCCATAGAACTTGTTTAGGATCTCCATGTCGTACTCATTCTTCTGCCTGACATTCGGACTCGCAGCGACCATCAGCTGCTGCGCCTCCATCTCGTCGGGCTCAAACAGTATGAACAGACTGGTCAGCTGCCGAACACTCGGCAACCTCCAGTAAGCCCTCAACATGGCCACCGGCGCGCTCGGCAACATGAACAGCTCATCCAATTGCTTCAATATCGTGACATCCGAATCCAAATGCAGCACCCGATCGTACTGAGTCTGTTCCCACGCCATGAACTTTGTAAAACTCCCATTCCACGCGTCGTCATCCGCCTTCGGTATTACCACCGGTAGAAGCTTCACATCGTAACGATCCCTCGCTATTACCAGCAGTTGGCTGTCCCGATCAGAGGTGCTTTCGATCTCGAGGTCCCATTCCTGCGGGTAGAGGAGGATGCGGTCAGCTTTGCTGCCGAGGCGAGAAAGGGCTTCGAAAACCATGACTGCGTTGCACAGATAGGGACTGCTGGTTGCGTATTGGCTGTAGGCGTAGCGAGACCAATCGACATTTTTGTAGCGGAGGGAGGGTTCGTGGATCGGGGTGCGGTGAGGGAGGAGGGGAATGGAGGAGCGACATAGGTAGAGCAGAACCAGGGCGAGTAGGCCGTAGAGCCAGCGAGATCGGCGGCGTAGGAAAGATTGGAGGAGCTGGGGCGTGAGAGAGTCTAATAGGTTTGAGGGGAGGGGAATATCGAGCGGTCATTGCTGGGTCGGAGACAACATTGTAGGACGGTGAACAGTATCAGAGATCGCCCAATGTTTCAGAGAGAGCTCCAAGAGGCGGAAGAATCATAGCTTGAAAGAACCCAGTGTCAACAACGTCAAGGCTCAGTGAAAATGAAAAACCGCTACACCAATTTGTACCAGGTGCCAATAGGAATCGAACCCCTATATACCGGGAATCTTCTTAACATAACCTCTGCTATATAACTAGCATACGGATACCTCGAACTCAGAAAATAGAAACCGGTCGTCAACACATTGTAAGATACCAGCGCCATTAGGTCGAACATAATACGAATTAGATACCTCAGGACACCGCGAATTCTACCTCTGACGAGAGACTTACTATTTCTATGAACATCACTATTGAAAGTACTAGCTTCATCATCAAAGGGACGGACAGGCCTTGGCCCCCCCCCCTTTTTTATAAGAAGGCGATGTCTCGCATAGATTCACGTTGCAATCAGTTGCAAGGTACACGCTGGTTAAAGGGTAGCCAAACCGACGATGGGACAGTCACGGTATTGGGCCCTCAGCGGTCACTTGGACCATGTTCAAGCACAACATGGGGCCAGTGGGCATCTAAGCGTTCAGAACCTTGAGTCTACAAAGTACACCAATGTGTGAATTGACACGGATAGACGCCCAGGAAACGGGATGCTATGTAAATCTGTTGTACAGTGCAAGCGAAGTGCCAGCCATCTAGGACCATCTTAGCACCAGTCGTCCCCTACAGTCCGCTGCCGTTGTCAACGATGACGCTTGCCTGGGTGACCCCAGATTCTGCAATGAGCCGTGCAATGCTAGACGGCGATAGCGATGTCGATCCAGACCAAAGCCATTCTTGCCGTGGGAAGAGACGATCTCGGACGAGCCGAAGATCAAGGCGCCTGTGACGAGACTGGGGGCATCATGCTGATGTACCTTTTGGTGAAGCGTTCGTGGCCATTCAAGCAGCCATACAGGTATCGGGTTGCAAGTAGCCGAAGCGAATATGTTCAAAGAATGCCAGGGGACGTAGCAGGCACTAAGGCCTGAGTTGATTGCTCTCGAGCCAGGCAGAATAAGCTTATCAGAATTCAACTAGGACATTGCAGTCTCCAGACGCCAATACCATCAGCTTCGGCCACTCTGTGGCCATAAGTGCCGACAAGTACTCACCAGCTGCCTGCTTTCGGCGCTGGATGGGATTTCGTTCGCATCCAGGGGTGTATCTGTGTTCTCCCATCCTTTTGGTTCGTTGAAGAGGGACTGACTTAGGTCTTATGGCGCTCAGCTGCAGCTGATGCAGAATGGTTTGAGTCGCAGCTGGCTCATGGCCATTTTGAATCCAGCCTTTTGTAAGGGCGAAGGATTAGGCATTGTTGAAGGACCAGCATTCATTGTTGAAAGCCAAGAGACATTCTGTGGATCAGGATGGGACTGAATACGCGACTGGACTGACGGCAGGATTGATACGCAAGCATAGTGATTTTGGGCTTTTTGTGCCCGTATTTGTTGTCGTTGCAGATACGTGAAGGGCTTGCAAACGACGCCTAGTTCAAAGTCCTGGGCAAAGATCTGTGATTTCTCTTTAGCAGTTGCTTGAATACTACATCTCGACAGAAAGAGTAAGACCTTTCTGCAGTTTGCGAACAATTAATTGGATGTACCCATTCTTGAGTGCTTATTGATCTCTCAAAAATGCCTCCGGACTGCATCCCGATGTCCTTCTTGGCCCTCGCCGTGCTCTGCTAGGTCTTTATCGAAGTAACCACATCCGTCAACTGCAAACTCGTGACCCTAGAACCCGATCTGCAGGTCTTCCACTTCCTAATCGCTGCAGTGGAAACCGGGCCGGCATTCGAACTCGCAAGATGTCTTTGCATCTTCTCAGCGCATGAGGTACGCCTCAGAGACGAGCGTTGGACGTGCATCACAGCGTTCTCAACCAAAGCCGCAGGCGGCCTGACGAATAGCAACACCTCAGCCCAAGCGTAGTGCGCACAGAGACTGAGAACCCGGCTCCACATTCCCACATGCTTCCCGGGATCCAGTTCGTATTCCTTACGTGAGGGCTCTATCGACTTATCCCCGTGCTTTCTGCACATTTTCCTTACTGAGCAGATGGATTGCGGGGAGCTAATGGGATCTGGAGGAGAGCGACATGGTGACTGAACGATACAGTTTGGTAAGCCTTTCAGGGGCTTGACAGACGCTGAGAACCCCCGTCAAACACAGCCATAATCGAGGGTGGCGCAAGCGTAGAGACTGACTGACGGATGCACGGCTTCCGGAAGAATCTTTACTTGCATACTGAGGACGATCTAATGCTTTGCAGTATACGAGTAGATTGGAAAGCGGCTTTTAACAGCACCTTCAGAGCAAAAGCTACACTGTCTGATCAATATTTATTGATTTCCCGCTCCACCCTAATGGGCAACGAGTCACGCAACAAGCGCTTGCCAGAGTCGCATACCTCGGGCGATAGCCATTGCCATATAAGATAGTTGACGATAGACGCTGTGATCAGAGCAAATATCTCCAGCTAAGCTCAGTCCGATTACCTTTTCATACCGCCCTTTGATATCCTGGTCCTCCGTTGTCACAAAACAGCATCCTCTCGGTTCTAATAGGCTGTCATCAAGAAGTCTTGCAAAGAAGCTAGCGGCTGTCTAGGAAGCCTGTCCTTGATCAGAGGCGTTGAAAATATACCCCTGGTCAAGGCCTGAGCTTCCTCGCTAAGAGGAGGAACAGATCTGGCCGATCACAACACACTGACGAAACCACAGACTGTCGGGTGAGTATGAAGAAATCCATGCCTTCGTACGAAGAACGTTCGACAACCGAATAACACAGTCGGTCATCGCGTGGATTGGCATTGCAATCGCCAGACGCCAGCGCCATCAGCTTTGGCCAGTCTGAGGATGCCAGTGCTTGAAAACTAGCATACAGGCCCAATAACTCTTTAAATGAGTTCGCTTACCTTTTGCTTGTTCCTTCTGACTCTTCATCCATTCTAGCACTCAATCCACAGGGACGGCGCCAGACGGCTGTCCCTCCGTGACCTTTGGATGACGGTCTGGGTTGGATGAGAAGTCATGAGTTGCTTCTCGTGGACCAACGGCATAAGCTGGAGCGCGCGCATTGTTTCCCTGAAAGGAGCTTTCTCCTTGGCAGACGGTACTCGAAGAACCAAAGGATCAACGATCGTGGACGTAAACTAGAGACTGCCCCCGGACTAGAACGGGTCTTTGTGGCTGAATGAATGGATGGCAGGATGAGATAGGCAAGTATGGTCGCTCTGGGGCAGGGCCCCCGATCATCGTATTCGTGAGAATTTGTAGATTTCTGAATGAAGGTCTTGCGCAAATATCCATGGCCAAATCTTTAGCAAAAGATGGCTCTCAGTTTGCAACGCGGCTTCAGACCTTTGTGCGTTCTTGAATTGAGATAGTCAGTAACAGAGCGAGCCCTTCTGGGAGAATGTTCAGAAAGGCAAGAGCTTCTTTCCATATCAGAAACCCGTAGATGCTCTTTCCAAACAAAAACACTGTACCAGTGACTCGTGAGTACCTTGTTAATACCCTCAACTCATTTTCGACCTGTCTGTATGTCAGTAGCAGTAAAATGCTGTTGGGAACCTACGCGGATGGAAGGAGCATCCTTCCACGGCAGTACCAAATTCTCCGTTTCCCCCTGAACAGAGCAAGTGCCCCAACCTGCCAGTCTCTTGTTTACTTTCTCCATTCCGCTTTTTCCATCATCTGACCGTCTTTTTACGTTCCCAACTCTACATCCCAGCTCGACCACATCGAGAGCATTGCCTCCTTACCATTATTTTTGATTCAGCCTCACTGAAGTGCATAATCTCCTCGTGGCATACCAGTATTTTGTGGTACCGTTGAGCGGCAGGCTACTGTCCTGAGAGACTCAGAAATGATCAGACATCTTTTAACGCGCTACTAGCACAACCAAGTGTAGCAGCAATCGGTATACAGTGTCTGAGTCCATCATCATTATCTCTCGCTACCCAGTGCAATGCTTCATGTCACTCCTCAACCATCGCCAACCGCAATGGAAGAGAGGCTTCGAGAGTTTCTTGGGTACATATCAAGGCCAGAACTCGGTCCCCCATTGCCAAGACTATGATGTCGAAGCCTTTGTCTGAGCCCACGGCAATGATGATCTTGCGCTATACTGTGTCTGCTGCGGGAGAAGTACCTTGTTGCTGTGCTCGAACCACTGGTGACTTTATACGTCTTTATCAGCCAAGTTGGAATGCCTAGCCAAGACATGAGAGGGTCTGAGAGCAAGCAGACAGGCGGGCACGGGCACTTACAAAGGCCAGTATTCGGTCCCCCATTCCCGGGACAATGATGTCGCAACTCTTGTCTGAGCCCATGGCCATGATGATTTATTGGTTTCGCTACTGAGTCTGCGGCGGGAGAAGTACCTTGTTGCTGTGCTCTAACTGCTGGGGAATTTATAGGTTTTCAATCAGCCAAGTCACACTACGTAGGATCTGAGAGGGTCTGAGAGCAAGCAGACAGGCGGGCACGGGCACTTACAAAGGCCAGTATTCGGTCCCCCATTCCCGGGACAATGATGTCGCACCTCTTGTCTGAGCCCACGGCCATGATGATTTATTGGTTTCGCTACTGAGTCTGCCGGCGGGAGAAGTACCTTGTTGCTGTGCTCTAACTGCTGGGGAATTTATAGGTTTTCAATCAGCCAAGTCACACTACGTAGGATCTGAGAGGGTTTGAGGAAAAGCAAGGCAAGCTTGGGCACTCACAGAGACTAGTGTTTGGTCCCCCATTCCCGGGACAGAGATGTCGAACCGCTTGTCTGAGCCCACGGCCATGATGATCTAGTGGTTTCGCTACTGACTCTGCCGCGAGAGAAGTATCTTGTTGCTGTGCTCTAGCTGCTGGGGAGCTTATAAGTCTTCGACGTGTCGCCAAGCAAATCGTCGGTTCCTTTTCGGGTCTGGTTCTTCCTCGATCATGGATAGACACCTCTGCACGGCATCACAATGTTCTTCACAATCCTCTCAATTTTGATCCAGGTAGCCTTGGAATCGATCTTCACATTCGCTTTCACCTTCGGTCTCGCTGAAATAATCGCACTTCATATCTGCGAGGACTTCGATTCGAATTGATCGGATGCTCTACTTTCAGCTGAGCAACATCTCTCGGCACTCTGCCATGGGGCTAGATATTCGTCGAGGGTAGGCTGTCGAATGTGTGCACCAACATATTCGTGTTATTCAGGAGGAGGGGGGGTGCCTGGCAAGTTTCCCGAGGCTTGAGCGTACTTGACGCAAAGCCTGAAGGTATGAACGGGGGCTTTGCTGTCGACGTAAGCCTCAATTTAGGCACCAAAGTTGTGGCATCAATAGGTGTTGCCCATGCCACAGTGACGTTGTTGACCATGGGTGAGAGCCAGATAGGAACAAGATCGAGTGCTTAGAGCGATCAAGGACGTCTTCTCCGATAGAAATAAAACACAAAAACGTGACACCATTGTACCAAGGCCAATAAGAATCGAACCTGATACAGTTAAGTAATAACAACCCGACCACACCGATGTTAAAAGATCTCCGCAGATGACACAAGAAACGCGTGCAGACACCCCATATCAATGTGTTCTTGGAAGTGTAGGACCACGCAGGTTGGGTAGGGATAAGATCAGAAGAGAGCGATGGTAAAGACGCCGCACGTCGATGCAGACACAAGGAAAGCAAGAGACTATTGTACAGAGTACAGCACCCACTACGACGCCTGTACGGGCTCAGGTGAGACTGTCCTTGGGCTGCCCAGGACTCGCTACGCCATGACTTCGAGTTCAAGTCAATCAGGCTGGAGATGTTACCTAGCGGTATGTCGACCCTAGTATTTGCTACGCCCACCGGCCTCTCCATTTGATCGCCGCTGTCCTGGTTCCATCAATTGGACCAGGACCATCAATTGGATCATCAATTCATCAATCGTATCAGACGGTACACAGGGCTTGTCCCAAATCCGAGCGTGTCCCTGCCCCTCGCGAGACTGCATTATCGTCGTTCATTATCATTCATACACTCGTGATGGACATATCAGTAATGTTTGGACCCAGGAGAACAGGAACAGGAAACGCCAGGACTGAGATGAACTCTACGTGTTGTCTCGGTCTGCGAGACGTGGGGCATCCAATACACCAAGCTCTATAGACTCTTCGGACCGACTTGGCGGGTTCATGCACTCGGCAGTATGCAGACAGATGCGCTCGGGGTGGGGTCCGTAGAGCGAATTAGGGTTTTTATAATTTTTTTTTTTTATTATTTTGTAAGGGGATAATTTATAATTTGATATATTATGTGGGTATTTATTAATAATATATTGGTTTTAATGTGGAATGTAATTGTTATTTATATATTGGAATTAGATATTTGAGTTTAAGTAGTTTATGTTTTTATAGGTTTTTTTTTGTGATATTAGATGAGTTGTTGGGTTTATAATTTTATTTTATTTTTATTTTTAATTTTATGTTTAAATAATTATTTATTATTTTTTTATTTATATGATGTGTTTTATTTTATGTGTGTGTTTTTTATATTTTAATTATTTATTTAAATGTGTGGTTTGGTTTTAATGTTATGTTTGGTGTTTTATGTTTTTATTGTATTGTGTGTGTTGGGCCATCGGGTACGGAATATATATTGTTCTGTTTATGGTCGATGTCGGTGGTGGTTGGGTGTATCGTAAGGGTGAAAGGCTTGCCCTTTCTCTCCCGTTACGGCCTTCCCTCGCCTAAAGGGGTCCGTGTCGGGCAGCATTCGATCCTGGGCCAGGATTCCTGAAAAGGGCTCGAGTACAACAGTACACCGTCTTATCAATTGAGGCTGATTATTATAAGGCTGGAAAGTCATTCCAGGTTCTCAAGTATCTTGAAGCTGAACACAAATTCAAGATTGCGAATCTTTGCTTTTGTGCTTCTTTCCGCCTCGAGCAATGTGTGCACTTGCAGTTCAATAAGTAGCGTTGTTAGATTTCAGACCGGTAGTCTCATAAAATTTCATGTTTAATCAAGGGACTCGGAGAAATAAAGACGAGTACTCGAGGCTGAGCCCAATCATTGCGTGCAAGTGCAGATGTCTTCGTATCAAGCTTTTTGCTTTTGCTGCACCCTATGGTCCTAGGCTATGTTGTACTAAGCTACCACACTCAACTTCCCCCCACCCCCAACCTTATCCTTACAAAGACATGCTGAACCCACCCGTCAGCGGCTTGTTCGCCGTTGTCGTCGTGGGACTCCCCGTCGCACTCAACAATACCACATCCGCGATACTCACATTCCCCACATCGTACCCAAACGTCCCGCTCATGGTCAAAGTCGACCCGTCGTACGCGAATCCGATCACCGACGTCGCGGCCTGCGTGATCGACACCCCGTCATCGAGGTATAGAGACCCGGACGCTTTGCCGTCGAGCCCCGGCGCTACGACGAGATTGAAATCGAGCTCGCGCAGTGCGGCGGTCGTGTTGGCGCCGTCGGAGCGGAGGGGGAGGATGGCGCCGCCTTTGATGTACACGGGGATCTGAGTCAGATTTGCGTTGATGGTGACGGACGAGCCGCTGCCGCGGAGGGGTTCGTAGGTGAAGAAGTCGTAGAATTGGTCATCGGGGAAGTAGACGGAGACGCTGGTGGCGCCCTCGTCCGTCACGGGCGCCACTAGGATGGAGGGCCCGTAGAAGTATTGCAAGTCCAGAGACAGGGTGTTGGTATCGGTGGGGTAGAGGAAGAACATGGGGTTCAGGAGCGGTGTGCCGTCGACGGATTGCTGGTAGAGGGCGGTGTAAATGTAGTCGAGGAGTTGGTAGCGCGCCTTGATTGCTACTTGCGCGGCTTCGGTAACGGTTGGCCAGAGGTAGTATTCCTGATGGGCGACCCCGGTGGCGTCGTGGTTGCGGTAGAAGGGGTAGAATGCTCCCAGCATAGCCCAGCGTGCACAGAGCTCTTCGGTCGTGTCGCCAGCGTAGCCACAGACGTCGGATCCGACCATCGGGATCTGATAGATGGCTGCGAATGCAATCATTTCGGCAATCGAGATTTGGTAGTGAAACCAGTCGGAGTTGTTGTCGCCGAGCCAGTGGCCGACGTAGCGGCCGGCGCCTGCGAATGTGCTCCGGGTTATCACCATCGGTCGTAGGCCGGGGCGGCGGTTAAGCATTGCGCCGCGGCTAGTTTCGCTCATCATGGTGCCGAAGAGGTTATGGGTGTCGTATTCGGCAAGGCCGTTGGAGTGAATGAGATTGGTGTCGAGCGTGAGATTGCTAATGGAGCCGGCTGCGTCGTGGATGGGATATGGTGGGTTGATGAGGTCGCGGTTTGGCAGGCCCATCATGCCGCCCGCAGTTCCCATTTGTCTCTTTTTGAGGCTTTGCCCCCGCTTTATGCGGCTGGAGGAGGAGGGCTGGAAGTCTGTTGGAAATCCGGGGATCGGATAGCCTGCGTTAGGGCGGACTGGTGGAGGTGCAGGGGGGTCATCGTTGGAGACGGCGAACGCTGCTGGGTCACTGCACGGGTAGGGGCAGAAGTTGGAGGCTTCATTCATGTCGATCCAGAGGGCATCGATGTCAACCCCATCCGTTGGACTGAAGAAGCTGGAGAATTCGCCGTTCCAATAGCCCTGGGTGGCCGGATTGAACCAGTCTGGGAAGGCGGTGATACCGGGCCAGACAACGCCTAATTCATGAGTTGAGTCATAAGTCCTAACGAGAAGTCTGCCACTGTGAATCACTTACCTTGGTAGATGGAACCATCGCTATTCTTTAGGAATATACCCGCACTCTCACCGTTCTCAAAAGCAGAGTAGTTCTGATACGCCACGGCAGGGTCTACCATCATGATGTAATGCTGCTCGTGATCATGAAGGTAAGTAACGAGCTCCTGCATCTTCTCCAATGGGAATCGATCAGGATCCAACGTGAAGACCTTGATTTGTCAGCTTCCATTTGGCAGTGATGGGGAGTTGATTTACCTTTCGCAAATCCATGTAGTCGATGTCGGTCCACATTGTCTCCAAGGGTATGTCAGCAGCTGAGTAGTTTGCAACGACCGCGGCGACCTCGTAGACATCCTGCATGCCGTATCGACACTGATGGAACCCGAAGCCCCAATATGGCATCATGGTGGGCTGGCCGATGACGTCGCTGTATTGCCTAGCAACGTCGACTGGGCCCGGGCCAGCAAGGACGTAGAGATCGACGATCCCTCCGATCATGTTGTATTCGAGATACTGCCCCGCGGAATCGCTGTTAATGTCGAGATCCATACCATCGCTGTTCAACATGAAGACCCCATGGGTCTCACTGGTGCTCTCGCGGTACTCGAAGTAGATGGGGTGATTTCCGTAGAGGTTGGTTCCTGGTGGGATCAAGTACGCATCTCGAGACCACAATGTGCGAACGTAGTCAGTAGTTGGGCGACGGAAAGGGTCGGTGTCTTCTCCAAATCCATAGATATTCGGATTACTCGGAAGCGAAGTGCGAAGTCGGACATACTGGGACTCGAAAACGAGGGCCATTCCCGAAGTGTCAAAGATGGACTCCCCGCTATCTGTGCGCTGGACGGCGAAAGAGAATGGATCCTGGGTCAGATTGAATGATAAGAGTGAGCTTGCAACAGCAACGGTGTCGTTGCCAGGCCGCCCTACGACCGACTCCGGGACTTGGTATACTGTTTCACTCTGATCAAATATTTGGATATGAAGGCGAGAGTCTGTGAGGTTGTTAGCCTCTTCTCAATCATATCGTGTCACAAGCCTTGCAACCAACCTGTTTGATATTCGACCAGGAGCGTTAGATCCGGAAGGTCGTAGCCGTAGACGTTGCATGCGTCCCCAGCCAGCGTCAGTGAGGCAGTCAGACCTGAGTCGGTCTGGGCGACATTGCTAGCTGTATAGCCTGGGCAACCGCTTATATTTTGAGAGAGTACGGGTCTCAGAGAACCCAGGAGGAGCACAGCGGCTCCAATTACGGAGAACATGATGAAAATGATGACTTGGGACAAAAGGAGGAAAAGAAAAGAGGAGAGAAGGTTGGTCTGATCGAGTGATGTTCGAGAAAGAAAGCATTTCTACACTTCTTAACCCCCCATACTTATAGGCATGCCTACTTCTAGATCCACCTGCCCGCGCTGAGGGTGAGAGTGGAGAGAATGAGAAGAAAGTACAAACAATTCCCCGCATTTCAGTCACGGGTTCCATGCGAATGCACATGAGTGCACGGGTATGCTCGGGCCTCTCAGTGGACAGAAGAGATCGACATCGCCGGAGGAGTGAAGGGTTTGCATCTTTCCAACGTTTTCCCTTATGAACATGGGTATGGTTGGGCCTCTCGGTGAAAAAAGAGAGATCAACATGTCCGGAAGCAGGAGTAAAGGTTTGCATCTTTCCCACTATCGGACTTACTGCTACTGTTCATATGTCACACGTGTCAGACACCAAGTCAGCAGACACGAGAAATTAATGTCCGGAAAAGAAAAGCAATACATGACTACTAGTCATGATGAGGAAAGTGCTTTGACACGGAAAAGTACACGGCGTGAGGGGAAGGAGGAGATGATGGAACGAGGGAATCATGGGACTCCGTGCGTGAATTGTCGCAAGAGTGGAAGTCCCGAGTGGCGGAAGGAATGGTATTTTGCAAGTATTTCGGGATTCGAAGCAAATTGACTGGCTGGCTCTGGGAGTCTGGGACGTTGAAGATGCGGGGAAGGGGGGAAGAAAGATGCTGTACTCCGTCTGCACGTACCTTGTACAAAGATGAAAAAAGGAAGAAGAAAAAGCCGTCGCATGTCAGCTGCTTTGTTGGCCTGCATATATTCTGCGTCTATCCTGCATATGCTGCAAACTTTACTCCTTTTTCATCTTTTTTCATCTTTTTTCATCTGCGTGCGTTACTTTATGCATGAAGCATGAAGCAATACAGCGCGTAAGATTACCTTACTTAAATAAGTTACTTTTAAGCAAGCATCCGTCAAACATGAAATCTCAGAGCCTCGGAGTCGGCGGTCATAAGATTGCGGGGAAAAGCCGGCGCTACTGACCGCTTTCCCGCCGATTCGCTGTCCAGTTCCCAAGCTAAGCTACTTTATCACTAGGTACATAATGTACTTTAGGTACTTTATCAATAAGCCTACCTCCCTAACCTTTCAATCACTTCTTCTGCTCTGCTCTGCTTTGCTTTGCTTTGCTCGGCTTTCTCCAAACTCCTTTCAAAACTTTGTAGCAGGCCCAATCAACAAGACGGAGTCACACTCTTCTTAATATCACCGGCAAGTGATGCTTATGATGCTGACTTCATCGCAACGGTCTAGCCTCGTACATCATGTATGCCGTAGTTCAAGTGGGGAAGACCCACCTACAACCTTTCCACCTCCCAATCATCTTTCTCTCCTCTCTTTGCCATCACACTCGCTCCTCTCCGGATAAATTCTCCAAAGCCTTTCTCACCCACTATTCCTCCTTCATCGCGCGCCCACATGACTTTCCCTCTCAAGATTGTCCACCTCGGCCAATTCCCCACTTCCCTTCCCTCATAAGGCGTATAGTCGACGTGATGATGCAGCTGTCCGTTACTCACCCTGAATGGCTCCAACGTTCCCTCGGGATACCAGATACACAAATCCGCATCACTCAATCCCGGCAGTAATGTTCCTTTTTTGGGATAGAGCCCATACAACTTCGCCGCATTCGTACTCGTGACTTCCACAAATTTGCTTAACCCCAGTCTTTCCTCCCCTTCCCCAAGGACAAGCGATAATCTTGTCTCCACACCGGGGCAGCCATTCGGTATATATCTGAATCTGCCTTCTGGGTATCCCTCAATAAGCACGCTTTTCTTGCCCGCTTCACGGTCGTCGTAGTCGAAAGGGCAGTGATCCGATGAGAGTATAGTGAAAGTGCCATTCGAAAGACCGCGCCAAATGGCCTCGTGGTCCTCTGATCCCTCGCGGGGCGGTGGTGAACAGACGCATTTGGCGCCCTCGAATCCTGGTTTATCGAGATCGGAATGGGTCAGAAAGAGGTATTGCGGGCATGTCTCCGCATAAATCGGTAATCCCTTGGTCTGTGCATGCCTGATATGCTTCGCTGCTGATGGAGAAGAGACATGTACAATCAGGATAGGTGTGTCGATGATAGAAGACAGAGCGATGGCACGATTCGTAGCCTCCGTTTCCACAATCTGAGGACGGGATGTAGCGTGGTACTTCGGCGCATACAATCCTCTGCTCTCCAGTTGTTCAGTCATCCACGAGAGTATATCCCCATTTTCGGCGTGGATCAATGTCGTGATACCATTCCTGCGCGCTTCCAGAAGGACGTCTAGGATCTGGTTGTCGCGGAGTTGGAGAGCTTCGTATGTCATGTAGATCTTCAAACTCGAGATACCCTGTTCGCGAAGGGCAGAAAACTCGGAGAGGACGTCTGGGGTAGGATTGGAGATGAGGAGGTGGAAGGAGTAATCTGTGTAGCAGTTCTTATTTGCTTTGACGTGGGTTTGTTGCAGGACGGAGAGAAGGGAGGGATCGCTTTTGCTTTGAGGCGCGAATGTTACCTTCGAGTTTCCGGAGTCAGTCATTCTTCTTTGAGGTGGAAAAGAAGCCATAGGACAAGGTGCGTGAGTATGATTTTCTCGAAACATCCTGAGGACTCTCATTAAGCACCGAATATGATGACTTTGCTCCGAAATTTAGACATACGACTGTGGTTGTGCCGCCGCAGATAGCTGATCTGGTTCCTATTGTGTCTCTTTAGCGCTCTGGTGGTTCTGAAAAGTAGGTATATGGTACCTGTTTCATAATCGTCTGCAGTTTTTCCTTTACCAAAAAGCGGCGGTTCGTCAAGGTGAACGTGAGCATCGACGCCTCCCGGCTAGGGGACCCTCAGGTCAGCATCACGTCCTCAACAATATTTGGAAAAGCACAACATACCATGACATATCCACCTTCAGCATCAATGACTCTCTTTGCTGCGATTTCGGCCAACGAGCCCTTTGGGGCTAGAAGGGCTATCTTCTCGTCCTTAATGGCGATGTCATAGTGGCCGATATCAGAGGCAGTGACGACTAGACCGTTGATGACAAGGAGGTCGTAGGGCTCCATGGTCAGATCTGCGAGTCTGATTAGAGTAGCTTCGACGACGTCTCGGTTTTGCTGGCCCCGAATCGTACATCTTTGCGTTGCCCAACCTAGTAGACAGAACACGTTTGAGGAACCGAGAATGAAACAGGTTTTGTCGGGCTTTGGATGTTCTTATCTGCGTCATCAGTAGACGCTACTCGTGTACCTGCCTTAGTGCTCTCCTGCCTTTCGGGAAGGTGGAACAGATGTGGAAAGTGGGGGAATAGGAGACTCGATTTGAAGGTTATTCAACATGCGATTCCATTCTTTTGAACACCGCCAACACTTAACAAAATATACACCGAAAAGAAACACTGTCTTGCATTGCTCAGATCTAGGACATCTTGCAGCAACCAGCATGGATTCTCTCTAAAACCGTGCCGAGCAATCTCGAACTCCTACTAAGAATGTTTCCCAATTGACATATCTCGATGTTGACCCCCACTGAAAAAATGTTGGGCAGCATACCACCTTGGGAAGAGCCAGAAGATGTCAATCGAGCTTCTTTGGTAATGAGACATATCGTCTCATTGACTGGTTTTTACAGGCCTAGACTGATACGCCTTACGAATGTCATCAACGTCACTTGGCCATCCACGTGGACAACTCGAGCTTCGGAAGTCGGAATTTCCTAGCCGTGTATATCCTTGCAGTACGCACAAGCCTGTACATCACACTCTGGGCATCGCATGACCGTACAGACTTTGTGGCAGAAGTTGCATTCATGCCACGAGTCGATAATGTCCCAGAACTCTAACGCGGGTTTCGGAGTCAGCATTGCTTATTCGAATCAAGTAATAGAGTTGCAAGACAGGTCTCAGGAGTAGAAAGGTCCTCTTGCTCCCAAAACATGTCTTGCGACTCAATCTCTGTACCATATAGGGAGGATTGGCTCCGAAATGTACGTACCTCGGTGTACTTCCATGTGAGAATCGTGAAAGTCGTTGCAGAAAGGAGGGTCGTAATCCTCGTCACTGTCATCATCATCGTCGCCAGCAATCGAAGGTTCGGGCGTAGCCTCAGTGAAGCCTCGGTCGGGATCAGAGCCGTCGTAGCTCACTCTTGGGTTAGTCACGTCTTCACGAGAGGGTTGTTGCTGCCGGGTCGTGTCTTCATCACTTTGCCCGTCATACAGGGGCGGCATCGTTTTTAGAAATGGCTGTCCAGCGTTGCTACGCTTGCTCCCACATTCGGATGGGTGAGGTGCACCCAAGTTTTGATTGGGTAAAGAGCCTTCATTGTTGACCGACGGCTTCATTTGGTCCTTCTTTGCTTTCCTTTTCGTCTTTGTCTCCGTTGTTGACTCGGCTTGCTCTCCTTGGGAGCTTCTTTTGCGACTTGCTCTGTCACCTCTTGCGACCTCTTTCCTTGCCTAAAGAAACAGGGTCAGCAGACCCTCTTCAAGAACTCAAGTTCGATCGCAAGCCAGTTCAGTGGGGTACAATCAGGGTTAGAAGTGCTCTTCACCTCTGAATTACCTTTTGCGGCTCCGGTAGACGTAAAAACTAGGAAGGAATCGCTCTGAAATGTACACACCTCTCGCAGCTTGACGTCGGCTTCAGTAGCCTCTTGCTCCCGCCCCCGAGCTCTTAGCAATTTTACTACCCGCTTGTACTCGTCTAGGCACTCATTGAGACGTCTTTCCAGAGATTTTCGCTTGATTGGTAGATGAAAGATCTGCTCGTAATCCTCGTCTTCTCTTTCATCCTGATGATGATTTTGAAGTCAGTATACCATTTTCAAGAACAGACTCAACTACTAAGACAAGTCAAGTGGCACAGGTAGGGGAAAAATAATGCCATCTCGTGACACGCATTGGAGTCATAAGACCAGTTTCTAGACCATACCTGGGGAAGAAACCCTTTCTCCACTCCCGAGCCATGTCCCACGGCTCAGACTGACGTTTCGAATAGGGGAGAGTCGCTCCGAGATGACGTACCTTCGTTGCCCTTAAAGACTCATCCACCTTGACTTGTGTTTTGTCAATTTCGGCACCGATGCTGATGATATTGGAGAGCAGAAGCACTAGCTCAGCCGGCCATTTCTTTTCGGATTGCTCTCTTTCTGCCTTCTTGCGATCTGCTCGTTCTTTCTTCTCCTTCTCGAGTCTTTCTTGGAATTCCTTCTCTACCTTGTCTGGCCAGTCTGGGTCAGGTTGCTGTGGGGACGTCGGTTTGCCCCAATATCCACCGTCTTCACGCCTCTCTCTTTCGGCTTTCTCCCGATCTCGTGGTGGTGGTGTACTAAGATCACGTTTCGTCCTTTCCGCCTCCTTGCGAGCTTCCTTGCGAGCTGCACGCTGTCGCTGCTGATGCTCAAAAAGATCGTACCTATCCTTCTGTTCCCGATCCCATTGCTTGCCCCATCCACTGCGATCAGTAGCACCATGCGCATAAGTCGGGCCACTCCAGTATTCATCGTCTTCACGGCGTGCTTGGTCTGCCCTCTCTTGTGCTCTCCTCGACCAGTCCCAAGTCCGCTTTCGCATGTCTTCTTGCCACGCACGGGTAGGAGCATCGGGATCGGACGATCTCTGAGATGGCCAATTAGCTGGCTGTGGCGGTTGCCTTGCCTTTTGGCTTGATGAGAGGGTTCCGTCATATTTCGCTCGACGGTTCTCGTCGGAGAGAGTCTCATACGCTGCGCCGAGCTGTGTAATAGCAGATATGCTAGTCAGCCATCATAAGCAGCTCCTGTAGAATGGGGCCTGTAGTGACCTTTTGGAAGGCTGCAACGGCTCGAGGATTGCGAGGATCTTTGTCCGGGTGACATTTCAGAGCCAACTTGCGGTACGCATCTCTTACTTCCTTCAGCTGTGCTTGATGGGTGATGCCCAATATTTCGTAGTGGGTTTGACATAAGGATGACGCCATCGTTGTTGTTACTCAAGAGAGTTGCCGTTTGGGTTGCCACTGTCTCTGTCGTGTGAGTCGCCACTGAGGCTACCTGACTTGAGTGGTGCAGGTGTTAGTGAAGAAAGTCTAGGGGTACGACATCTTTGCAGGCATGTACCAATGATGCTGCAATAGTTTCATTGATTTCGATTCGCACAGATATGGTCGAGCTTGGCATGTTAGTAGGATCACCAATGTTTGCATTGAAATGGCTCGCAAACTCATGGATCAATTCTAGGCCTTCCTGACTTGGTCATCATGCGTAACTTTGCTGCTCTAGTCAAATATGCATACCTGTGTTTCCTACCTGCAGTGTTGAGTTGTCGATTCGAGATATTGAGGAAAGATGAGCTCAAGTAGCCGACGTGAGCAGGAGGTAAAGCTTTCTCGCCAGTGGGGCAGCAGCTTGGAAAATTCGATGATTGTCGTTAATGATGATGGGGATAGACAAACAATGAAGATGTTCTGTCACTCGAATTCACTGTAAGGGCCTGAGGTAGGATGTGAAGTAGAATTTGGGCATCAAGTTACACTTCACCCGAACGAAAGAAAATGGTGAAGTGTGATGATGATGATCGGAAGGATATTACATGTGCAGTCAGTCGATAAGGCGTTTAAGAACAAAAATGAGCTGCGGTCTATGAATAGTGTAAATATACCAATGGTTCTTTCCAATCTTGGATCCAACTTTGCCCCGTTATATCACCACATCGAAATCTTAGATATATTTTATCAGAAGCACTTTAAGGTTCAAAGCATTCACCTGGGCAAGGCAGACTAGCAGCGCGATTTCAATGTCCATTTGCTCCTGTCAAGGCAAGGATTTACCATCGATTAGCTAGAACGCAAGCATAGTGTTATTGGGTGCAACCGAATACATCTTCGGAACAAACCTTCAGCTACAGCACCATACTTTCTAACAGCGACCTCTCACGTGATCTACTGGCTAATGTAAGATACGTCCATCTGTCTCGACGGATAATTACGCCGATACATCCTGGATGTGGAGCAAATGACCCCGAACGGCCAAGCTCAATGGACGATCTCGTACTCAAATATCGTCGATGGATAGTCTTGTCTCATACGACTCACACAGATGAGAGTCGCATCCAGCTCAAGATCATGCGATGTGGAAGCGGAAGACCGAGCGAGGTGAGAGACTTGGAGTGTTGGAAGGATTGAAATGCAAGGAAGGACACGATGGAGAGTCAAAAGACTGATGGGTAGGTATTGAGAGATGTATGTACATCACAATCATCGCCGTAGCACCAGTTTGCCTGCTCCCAGCATCCAGGGCACCCAACCTTTTTCGGCCCGCACAGCCCAAGATCAGTAAGCTACTCTTGTTCGCATATCCTGCAGATCCGTCAACGTTTGTGGGTCCGTGGATGTGGATAGGGTAGGACTCACAGATATCTTGCGCTCGATCTCTCGTACCGACCTGTCCAGCTCTCCAGCAATCATCTGCTTCTTGTCGCTGGGCAGCAACGCGTACCGCTCGCATAAGTCTCCATCGATCATTCCCTTGACCGGCGCATAATATCCCCGATAGATGAGATGATCTCGACCGGCCAGGGGTGCGTCTTCACTTCTCAAATGTTGCTCCAGTGTCTGGAAAAAGTCCACGTCTTCTCGGCTGACGAATGGCACAAAAATACCTAAAGTCCCTTGCAAGCCCGTCCAAACAAGGACATCCCGTCCTCCAGCCACCAGCTGCGTCTTTTGTATACTTGTAGGCACATCTTGCGCAAAAAAGTGACACATCAAGGAAATGCGATTGGGCGCGCCTTGAAGGTACTGCCTTTCGTGAATGAGATGAGCGCCCGAGCCATCCTCGTCAGCTTCTTCGGAGGCCTTTTGAGGGCAGCGTAGCAGCCAAATGTTTCCAAACTTATCGCCACCAGCAACGGTCTCATAGTCGACCATGGTACTGCATGTCGTCCATCTTGCAATCACGTCATCCACGAAGGCTATCAAGCGATTTTCTTGAAATTTGTAGACAACGTAAACAACACTCTCCTGCACGTCGCTGACGATGATGCGGCTGCCTTGGGTTTGTAGACCAACGACAAGATTAGGCACCACTTGGGCTTGGCATTTTCGTAGCAGCTGTTTGAGACCTAGGTCGTATATGCGAAGCTCATTGCCAACCCCGGCTAAAAGACGACCTTGAAAACCAAGCAGTGCTTGCGGTGGTTCCTCAATTTTGGTTTTGTGGATGAATTCTAGCTCTTTGCCATCTTCGAGGAAGCGGTAGACATAGATGAAGCCGGCAGTAAATGATCGCGGAGCTACCACTACGTCTTTTCCGGTACCAACTATAAGGAATGTTTCATCATCCTGACTCGAGAATGAAACAGCCGCTATACTGACAGCAACCTCGTTGTCTTCTAGATCGATCTGCTGAAGAACCGCTTTGGCGATTACGGGATCAATGATATGTATACACGACGCCCAATGGCCTTGAGCACGAGGATAGCCAAATTCGTCGGGTGGGAGCTCAGCGGCGTCACCATTAGTAAGGTTGGAATCATTCAAAAGTCGTTGCTTAGTGGATGGGGAAAGGGTATTGTTATCGGCTTCAATGGTATAGAACAGAGGTTGGTCTGGATGGCGAACAAACTTTCGCGGGGTGTACGTAAGGGGAATCGACTGTTGGAGAAGATTATTGCCCAGCTTGTCGATGGAGAAGATTCTAGGTAGAGTTGCATTAGCCCCAACGGAGTAAAACCGCACGTTGTTCGTATAAGATGGGAGAGAGCCATAGTTCAGAAGGAACAATTGGAAGTATTAAAGGATTTTTCCTCATTGTCGCAATTGACATCGGAGGAAACCGCTTATGCATCATCATATCTGGCAAATTTGAATGAAGGCACAACAATGACGAGGGGCTCACCTCAAGCTCTTCCCCTCGATTCCGACCATCCCCTCCGGACACTGCTCACTGCTGAAGTTCGAAGCGTATTCTAATCCAACGTAGTCTAAAGGCGTGAGCATGAAGCCTTTCGTCTGGGGATCAGAATATCCAAGCCATGGCCGAGAGCTCAGTGCAAGAACAGATGCCTGCCCTTTGACAGACACTCGAAACAGCTTGGCAGGTTTAGGACCGAGGAAGCGCGTTCGCGTGTCTGAGAGCTCACCAGTGACTTCATCGAGGACTGTGCGAAGATAAACGCCGGAATAGAGACCTATATGCAAATAAAGCGTGGATCCACCGGATGTTGAATCTGCCATTGCCATGACTGCAAGCGCGCTCGGCGCGGAAGTCAAGGCTTGAACAGACTTGTTCTCTAATGTAGAGTCCGGATCCAGACTCAATATTCGTACGGTGGAGTCATCGCAGCCGACAGCGAGGAACTGGCTTCGGACACGGCCTTCTGGAACTTCACCGAGACTCAAGCATGTTACAGTACCGCTCATCTCTCGCTTTTCGTCGTACTCTGCTAGAGATCCGTCTTGATCCATCTCGAAGTATACAATCTCCCCAGAACTCAAGGCCACCGCAACTTGTCGCTCATTTGTTGTTGCTGCAACAATAGATCGATGTTGAGGTGCTGGCCATTCGTTGACTCGCCGATCTGCTCTGATATGCCTGATCCCTTTCGGGTGTACTTGAATCAAAGCATCTTCGCCAAGCTGTTGGACTGCGAGTGTTGGAGCAGATGAAAGAAATCCGGTGTCGGTGACTTCTTCTACTGTCTCACCAATGCTCAAGACCAAGGTCCCATTGTTGAAAGAGAGCACAATGTAAGCATCGTATTCGTCGCCGCGGGTGATCTTGGTAGTCCAGACAGCGGACGGAACATAGGGTAACTCCGAATCCACAATGTCGTTGACCTCCAAGCCATGTTTGAGCGTCCGAAAAGAACTTCGTGCCCCACTCCCACAAATAGAGTATATTTGAGGCGCGTCCTCTTCCGTAAGATTTGCAACTTTGCAGTCCAGCTGAGGATTCATCGAATCAATGCTTTCTACCAGGTTGACATTTTCAGCTCCTCGCGGATGGAAGTAAATTGCTTCGTACTTTTCGGTCGGGTCCACGGGAAACAAGTCGCTATCGAACTCGGTCTCTTCATCGTCGTCCCCGAGCTTCTCAAACTGGTAAAAATGATGGTTGCCTGTTTCGCTTGCAACGAAAAGAAACCCGCTTTTGAGGATGCAAAGGTTGGTGGCTATAGGAACAGTGTCGAAGTACTTGATCTTCAGCTTTTTCACTTCACCAGTTGGTTGGCCGGCTTCATCTTCTACCATTTCAAGCGTGACTTTGAACATATCTCCGTCCTCGCTCTGCAGCAGGAAGAAGAAAGCTCCTCGCATTTTGTGCATGACACCAGCGATAATGTACCTTTTGCGCTCAGGGTTTTCTGTGGCTCCTCTTCGCCTTGGAATGGCCACTCGAAATGGGTCTTGGTTGGAATGCCTGTAGGTGATGTTGTCCAGACCGCACACAAGGACTCCACTGGGACCATCTGCACCCCCAGGAACCTGGAATAACATGGTTGCTGTCCGATCCACAGGATCAGTCCATTTCCGGACGACATGATTAAGTCCTAGATCAAGCTCGTAGTAGACCAAGTGTTTCTCCAAGTCATCAAAAGCTTGACCTGTTGAATCTTGATCACATTCTGTGTAGTCGACTTCCAGAGCCGCGAAAACAGGGTTTTCGTATCCAACGTCAAGTCCAACAAGTGCGAACACCAATGTCTGTGCTTTATGGGCCTCGAGTGGAGAGGATATCGTTAATTCAGCCTGTGCGTCTCGATTTAGAACGTAGACGAGTTTGTTTTTTTCGACCGACGCTATGAGGCATGCCCTACCCTTGGGGTCCACTGCAAGATACTGTCCTGGTATTACCCGCCGGATACCTGATTTGCCAAATGTCTCGAGGTGTAATCGATTGAAACGATTTTGGGAAGGGACGTATTCGATTATGGTGATACGTCCGGAGTCGGATCCTATGATGATATAATCTAGAGACACCAAGCTCAGCCTAATTCTCCGAGATATATTCCGCATCTAGAGGCAGCACAGCCGTCATGGCTGCTGGGTCCGGTCGAGCTGCCTCTCCGTACTTCAAGAATCACTAAATGAAGCTTCAAATGCCAACGGGAAGTTACATACCTTTGTTACTACCCGCTAGTCTGAATGCTGCCAGTGTCCGTATGATGCCAAACAAGTCTTGAGATAGGATTGTTGTGATTTTGCCCTGGGCAGGGTCTGGCCGGTGGATGGTGAGTCGAGAGCCAGAGGCCGTCACTATCTGTTGCTCTTTGGTACCCGCAAACTGCCCGAGTATCGTCTGTGTTATGGAGGAAGGGGGCTGGATCGTAAGAGAATACATGAACATGCTCGACGTCGCTGCCATTTTCTCGGTGTTTCTCAGCCCGCAGGCTATCAGCCCAATTGTGAGATGACACCAACCTTGGGTTTACTCTGCACGGCGATGTCTGCTCACAGTCGAAGAGAAGAACGCAGATGGCTTTGAAGCAAGATCTAGCGAAGCGGAATTTTTGCGTACCGAAGGCCTCCATCCAAGTTGACTAGCGCGGATCTCGATTTTGGTAGGGCTGAATAGGGCTGACCTATTGATGACGCTGATAGGTTCAAGAAGATACACATTCTTACCTCTCAGCAGCAATAGTAGCGATGCAATCCGGATACACCTGCTCAAGGTGCTTGCATAGTCTAAAGAAATTCACTAATACCAGAACCAAAACTCAAGGATACAGCTCAATTCTTCAGCGCAGATGGGGATCTTTAAGTACGAGACCGAGCATACAAAATGCAACAATTCCCAGTTCTCCAATTCACCGGCGTGCTGTCACCTCTCAAAATTATCAAGGACAAACCTCAGTAGATGAGCCGCCGGAAATAGCTACACCTCCTGGACGGGCAAAACTGCCTTCAGCCACCACTCTCTCCGGCAATGTCCTCCTCGAACCCGACAACCTCTTTCACCACTTCTCGGACTCGCCATCACCAGACATACGGCGAAGAGCTGCTTTCATGAAGACTCACGCCTATTGTTCTCATCCCTCCCATCACCAGACTCGAATGCCGCTGTCTCCCCACGACCCAGAAGCAAGAAAAGGAGCACAGTCAACGCAACCCCCAGCTTTCGTCCGCTTCGAATGTCCTGATTGTGGAACACCAGTGTCATGTTCAGAAGAACATTGGGCTGATGATTATGAGTCCCATACGGAGATATGTGACGTCCTTCGAGAGATCAACGAGGATGACCACGATCTGCGCTCCGGACGTTTCTTCCCTGAATTTGAGTACCCGGGCCCACAGATGGAGGAGGCATTGGTCAATATGACCAATTGGGATACGTACCTATACACGCGTGAATACAGGGCTATCAACGAAGAAAGACCCTTACGTCAAGTAACCAAGCTCCTCACCTACCCAGTCACTATTGGCAGCATACTCTCCGAACTCAGCCCGTACAATATCCGCCGAAACGGCCGTATCACAACCGAAGGACTGAAGTCTCTCAGCGCTCTCCGCTACACCCTACACCCTCCCCGCACCGGCGCCGACGGCACTATAAAAGGTCTCCGTCTCAATCCCCCTCCCGTTCGTATCTTTATTCTCGGAGCCCGCGCCGAATCCTCTCTTCCTCGCGAGGTGTGGCAACAATTATCTTTCATCTTTCCCCGCGTTGCTTTCCATCTAATCTTCATCGGCCCAGAATCGATGACAAATCGAGACGCTGAATTTCCACTCCCGGAGCGAACGCCCGGGAACCCATTCGGTGCCGTGGTCGAAGATCGCATAAGTCATGAGATGAAAATCAGTACCTTTGTCGAATACTACCATACACTGCACCAAGCCGGGCTATTCCACCCTTACGACCCCTACTTTGACTGCTTCGTTCTTTTTCACCCTGGTTTGGGCCATCCGGCCAGTTCGCACGAGTGGGCAGATACGCTCCCCCAATTATTGGAAACCAAAGTCCCTATCATCTCCACCGGTTACACAGAGTGGGACATGGAACGAGACCGAAAATGGGTAGAAGACAAGGTGGGTGGAGAGATGGACATATTGATGGAGCCCGGAGAGAATAAATTTCGGAGCTTGAGGTGGGATTTAAACGAGTTTGACCCAACGGATGTAAGTTGTGGAAATTGGGGTGTTTGGGCTTTCAGGGGGAAGAGGTATGCTCCTTTCATTCCCCTCTCGAGATTGAACATCATGCTGAACAAGTAATGCAGGTATGAAACTACGATGAAGGATTAGAGTTGTACATAGCATTGCGAGGGAGCATAATTTCTATTTAGTCAGAAGCAAGCTTTTGCACAGCCTAAGACCGCTCTTGTATAACCGATATTTTGACTACGAGAGGCCGCATACCCTACGCGCTGTCCATACCAGGCTCTACACACCTCAGTCATGCACAAGGACATGGTCATGGTGCTGGAACACGACAGCGATAATGGCTGCTTACCCTCATCCTCTCCGGTCAACAAGAGTCTCTGCCTAAGTAGTTGCACAAGAACATGCCCGCCGTTCCTAGCAGTGACCACTGACTCATTTCCTACATATATTCTGGCTTTCTACGAAAATTTTCGAGATTGCAGTTGTGATTTCGCTATCTATTGGAGGATCACAATACCTGAGCTGGCAAGACCAGTGAGCTTGCGAAAGCTGTGGGGTTGAGCACAGGACTGCAAATAGTAAGTATCAAAGCTACTGGCAGCGAACCAAAAGAAGCAATCAGGACGCGGAATGAGAGGACTTTTGGAGAGCAGCTAGTTTGGCTCCCTGTACGATGTTAAGTATGGATTCCTTTGAATGTTCTGTTCTATCTATTTTCGATGAACCTCCATCTTTCGAGCCGCAAAGAGTATCATACACTCATCTTAGCCAGCTCATGAACCTATCATACGGCGTTTTCCCAGTACGCCATCACCAGCTCTGTTTACATCCAACAGGGCATGTGATCCAATACAGGCACACAGCTGATTTCTTGGCCTCATTCCTTTCTCTATCCTGTCGATCGCCTTACTAGCTCCTGCCATGTGCCCTCTAGAGCCCCTTTCAACTCCTTGTACGAAACCACGATCACGGACTGCTCATCCCTTGATGTCAAAGCAATCCGCTCCTCAATGCCTGCATCTAGCTTGTTCAGGCAAGACAGGATGTGACCTAGATCCACTACAGGATTTGCTTGGGCATCGACCTGATGAAAGACGTAGTCGCGGAACAGGCCCAGCACTGCGCGAGACCCTTGTGTGGTATATGTCCGATCATTTTCATACTCAGGTCGCTCATTCAAGCAGCTGAGTTTCGTCATTAGGCGCACAAGGCGAGAATTCTCGATCTCCTTGTTAAGGGAGAAGTATAGGTGATCATTAGAATGAAGCGACTTGTCGAAAGTATCGATAGCATTAGAGCTGATCAACTTGATCAGAACGTCGATCCCCTCATGATTTTCCGGTCTGTCATGGTCCAGAAGCCATTCAACAACGATTTTGAGCTGAGGGCTAGTTTTGGAGTAATTCTGTGCAAAGACATCGGGCGCTCGTGCCCTAGAGGAAGAATTGGACATGTTATTTGTACCCACCGCTAGGATGAAGTTGCCAAATTTGTGAAAATCCAGTCGCTGTAGGTCAGCAATATCGTGTATTTCACTAACCAGCAAGTCCTCCAATGCACAGCCGTTGAGGCGAATGCGGTTTTCGTCGGTCACAATCACTTTACTTGGTTCGATGACTCGAACAGCCAGTTGTGCAGAGTGAACAGCTTTGAGAGCGTTGGTAATCTGGACGATGTAGCTCCACAGAGTTTGTTCGGAGATGAGAGGAGGAGCATTGCGGTTAGGGCGGCTAGGAGTCTGGTTGAAGTGCTTTTCAGCAACCGTTTTTGAATCAGGATGATAGTCCGAAACAATGACTAGGGAGCTACTGTCAAAGTTTGTGGTTGTGAAGGCAAAATGGAGCGATACGACGTTGCTATTTCTAACAGCTGCCCACTTTTGGCGGACCGCGAAGATGGCGTTCTCATTGAGGTTCGTGGCTCGAAAATCTAGGTTGTATAGGTATCAGCGGCCAAACATTTGTCCTGCTCAGTGGCCAGGTACCGACCATGTATGCGCCTTAGGCAGTAAGTTCTGCCGTCCTTAGCAGATACGGCTTTATAGATGGTGCTAGAGTATCCACGCAATGTCTGACTTTGTTGTTGATTGACGCTTGTCAACGGCGTAAGGGTGTGGTAGTGTTCAACGGTGGGCGTGTTCGAAACTGAAATATCTAGATAAGCTATCTTCCACACTACAATAGATACGAAGTCCGGTATCAAAGAGCCTACCAGCAAAAACCCTCAAAGTCGCTTCAGTCCTGGCGTGAAGCTTCAGCCTTAGATCTTCTGGGATGAACAGTTCTTTCGCAGTTCTCTGATTGGGTTTCGAGGGTTCTCGATGAGGTTCCAAGGGAGTGTAGAGATTTTGGTTGAGCTAAGTCTTTGTGAGCCCTGCATAGTCTATGCGAAGCGGGCAGAAAAATACCTGGTGTGAGGGGTCTGTATGATTGGAATAGTATCTTGGACCATAGCCATTTGTATCTTGGGTATACATGTTTCCGTTCTGGTGAAGATCGGCGGCATTTGGAACAGCATTTGCAACTTGAGAAGGGGGGTAAGAGTCGAAGTGATTGGATTGGGAGTATTCAGCGTTTTGTTCGCCCTGTCCATAAACCTGAGCATTGTAATGAATCATATTGTTGTTACAAGAATGGATTGAAGAAGGAAAAGGAGGTATGTTTGGGCCGAGAGAATGGCAAGATTGGGTTGGCATTTGGGACGTCATTAGTACTGGGATATCGAAATACTGTCCTTGCCCTCCCGGAGTGTGCTGTTGTGGCTCCGGGTAATGAGGGTCGCTAAACGATTGGGATCCTCCTCCCGAATCTTGGAAGGCACTTGATTCAACTGGGACGGATGGCGTTCCTGAACTAGTTTGTCTGGGAGGCCAGAGGCTTCGTTGCCCGAACCGCGTGTTCGGCATGACTGATACATAGCCAGTGTTGGGATGCCCATTTCCAAAGCTGACTGACTTTCCATCGCCATTGCCATAAGACCTCGTCGGTGTAGTGGGTGACCTTGAGGGCAGCCTAGGGTGGAATGCTGCAGCCTCTGCGCTGAGTGACTTCGGATGCCGAATCCTGGGATTCCTTGTGGGAGTGATGGGTGTAACGGACTGAGGCTCGGGGAAGTGTGGGGTAGCCTTAGCGCTGGACGATTCGTCGTGTTTGGGTACTTGAGATGGCTTTGGCGGTGTAAACGGTTGCTTTTGGAGAGACAGTCCTGAGCCCCAGCCTCGACTAGAGTAAACGCTGGTACTAAGCGCTGGGTCCGTGAGTATGGCATGCTTGGTTTCTCCATCCTCAATCTCCACATGGGACATGACTGTACTGCCTGAACGTCCCGCGTGCAATGACATAGCGTCAGCGCCCTTTGATGCATCATATTCCTTGCCGCCACAAGACTTTGTGGGAGACTTCGATCCCCTTGCCGAAATGATACTGGGAAGCGTCTGGGCTTTAAGTTCTGACGGTTGGTCACTCGCTCCAACGTCAGGAGCCGCAGTCCCCATGAACTTCCCTGGCGAAGGACGGAGTGGCTCATGTTTGTATTCGGGAATCTCGTCAAACACGGCGACGGGAGAATCTGGCACTGGTCGAGCTAGATGATCCACTCCAGATGGGGGCGCAGAAATGGCGTCGGACTCCACGAAAGACTGAACTCCAGAGCGATGTAACTGATCTCTCGAGTGGGTCGGTGCGAACCCGGCGGTATCTCTGGCCGTAGGAGGATTGCTAGGCTCTTTTATGAGAGCGGTCGAATTGCTATTTTTTTTACTGCCATTTGAACGGGTCTGGAGCGCTCTCCAGTTTGCGACTCCCTGACTCCAGAAACCGAGAGCAAGGTCAGAGGGTGGCCCGCGTTTTTGATCGTTGCCTGAGAGCCTTGGGAAACCATCTGGGGAGCGACGCTGACTTGGTGAATGCAAGAAGGGATCATACTCGGATCTACGAACGTCTCCAGAAGAGCTGTTCTTGTTGCCGCTTCTGCGCTTAGTACCATTGTGAAGGTTTCGAATCCTATCGCTCTCGTTGATGCCTCTGTCTGGGTTTCCATCCATGGCCGTGGCGGTATGGGAGTGATTGAAGAGAAAGGAACATGAAAAAGAGGACCCAAATAATCATTGCTTACCGAGTTGTATGCTTGAGGAAGGAACTCCTGGGCGTCCGGCGCTATCCAATCAGGCGCATTAGGATTATACTGTTTCAATGATGCAGTCGTAGAGGAGACAGATGAGGAAGCAACGCTGGGAGCTACAACTGCTCAGCATGGATGTCTTTGCTAGGACATGAGTACGATGTTACCTGGGGTAAGGGTTCTGGGTTTGAAAGGTGCAGCATTGGCTGCTTTGGGGGAAAGACCTAGGGTCTTTGGTGTAGCATGGTTGCCATTCACAGCAAGTGACGAAGGTGTAAAGCTCGGTGAAGCAATATTAAAGCGCTTCTTGATGCTATACAAAAGCTAGTGAGTGATTCCATGAAAGACAGGAAGTCGCGGGCATGCACCTTTCCACTTGACTGTTAGGCTGTGATTTGACTGGATCATGATTGAAAGCACATCCTTAACGCTGCGTCAGTCGTGTATTTCTAATAAACCTGATCCAGGGAAGCGGCCACCTTTATCCTCATAGCGGCAGTGGCCATATATCGTCACATTCCTACAGAGCGTGTCTTTTGCATTCTCTTTTTCTCAGCATCTGAATTAGCCAAGGTCTTCCGCCTAGTCTCGTACTGCAGCTTGCATTTCGAGTAGAGTAGGTTCCAACTCTTACCACGCCCCTTGGGTCTGGGAGATGACTCAGGCCGCCGCGCATCCTCCACCGTGCCCTTTGTCAACGTTGCCATTCTGCCGTATGCGTGCTCTACTGTTCAGGCATTCTGAGTGAGGACGTATAAAAGCACTGTCAACCCGGTCAGTAACAAGTAATAGTATCTCAGAAAAGTCATGTACCTCATCCCAGTGGATCTGTGAGACCTGGCTCCAAGCTGATTATATGATTGGTAAGATTGCGCAGTTGATAGGAAGCAAATGAAAAATGATGGGCGAAGAGGACATAGACAGATATGAAAAGCTCGAAGCCCAGCTTCAACAGGGGGGTAAAGAGCTATTACAATGAGCAAATGTCAAGGACAAAGCGTGGGGAATTGGAAAATGAATCTGGAGCTGAATGTCCCGCATCGGTGCACGGACCAAACCAAGCAATCCTCTTGCCCAGCTTCCTCGCATCACTCAACACCAACACCAACTGGTGCCAACATCAGCACCATATCCACCTACCTTCTGTCTTTCAACATAGCAACTTAATGTCATTGTACGCTACCATGTCCAATCAAGATTTCGATCCCATGCAGCTCAATGAGAGCCAGCAGCTTGCCTTAGGAACTTACACATCCGTCACGAACCAGGAACCTTCTGCTGCTGTCCCCCTCCTGCGAAGATCCGAGTGGAACGTTCAGGTACGTCATACTCTATATCGTGCGACAGACAGCTGTAAAGGGCTAAGGCTGATGAGTTGATCAGATCGCTATCGCCAAATTCTTCGATGGCGAAGCCCCAGACCCAGTCGCCGAAGCTCGCGCTTCTTTGCCATCCTCCACTCCTCCACCGCAGTCCATAAGGCGCGAAACCTTGCTGAATGGCTCCTCGTCTTTCCCAAGGTCTCCGGTGTCTCCGCCTCGAGAGCCTGCACCACGGATAGTACCCCAACCTGAAAGTCAGAAGAATTACCGACCTCCACTACTGCTCTCCATTCTCTTCACCCCATTCAATTTTATCTTTCGGTTACTCACCGGATCACTATCATTATTCCGATACTTATTTCCATTCCTTCCACGACTTCTCCCAGCTATATCCGGCGGAAGTACTCCAGCGAGGTCCCGGACTGGTCGAAGACCACTGAACCCTAGGGATACAGCAGCCCGATTTGCAAGAGAGTTCGAAGAGGAATACGGTGCTCATGAATTGCCGTTCCATGAGGGTGGATACGCTCAAGCATACGACTTGGCAAAGAAAGATTTAAGATTTCTGATGGTTATGCTCTTTTCTCCAGAACATGACGACACCTCGACATTTGTGCGGGAAACGCTGCTATCGCAAGATGTGGTTGATTACGTAAAGGATCCTCAGAATAAGATCATACTGTGGGCAGGGAATGTCCAGGACTCCGAGGCTTATCAAGTATCAAATGCTCTCAATTGTAGCAAGTTCCCCTTCGCAGCATTAATTGTACATACCCCCCAGGATTCATCAACATCAATGTCAACTATCGCTCGAGTCACAGGTCTCCAGCCAGCGTCCGCATTTGTTGCTAAGTTGCGAACAGCCATCGCTCAACATTCTGCTACTTTAGACCGAGTGCGAGCCGCAAGGAATGAGCAGCAAGCTACACGAAACATACGGGAAGAGCAGAACAGCGCATACGAGCGATCTTTAGCCCAAGACCGAGAACGTGCAAGGCAGAGACGTGAAGCTGAAGCGGCACAGACTAGGGCTGAGCAGGAAGCAAGAGCAAAGGCGGATGCGGAAGAACGAGAAGTTCAAAAAGCAGAGCAATGGAAGCAATGGAGGGCGCAATCAATATTAGCAGAACCAGGTCCGGGTGTCGAGGATGCCACCCGAGTCAGCATACGGCTAACGTCTGGTGAGCGGGTCATTCGCAAATTTACCAAGAACGCGGAGATGGAAGAGCTTTACGCATTCGTTGAATGCTACGATGTCCTCAGGGCGCAAGAAGACCTCTCCGCGGCCATGAAACCTACAGGGTACAAGCACAGTTACAAATTCCGTCTCGTGTCCCCGATGCCTAGAACTGTGTACGATGTCGAGGGTGGTGGCACGGTGGCGGGCAAATTGGAAAGAAGTGGTAACCTGATTGTGGAGCCAATCAACGATGAAGACGATGAGGCATGATTCTGGACATTTCTGCATAGCTAGGGATGTGAACTGCATTTTAGCGAATGACAGTTCAGAGTATTCGGGCTTTTTTTGAGGCCGAGGATGTCAGTATCAATTTTGGTTTGTATACTAGACTAGACAAATACAAAGACGTGTTCTAGATCAACCAAATGACACGACATGACAACAGCGCTCATATCTCGGATGGAGAAAACTCGGGCATTGACATCCTTGGGTGAGATTCTTGGTTTGGGTTGAGAGTAGACAGTATTTTTGTAAAGTTTGTATGGTTGTTCAGTAAGCCAGCATTGCTCTTCAACGTCTCGAACACTCCATCAAGGGGAAATGTAATATCGGCTTCGTATGACGTTACGACTTCCATCTTAAGATTTGGCAATCCTGCCACGTCTGAGTGCGGTCGTTGCAAATCAGCTGTTGAGGAGAGACCAAAGCAACCAAACCTCTGTATGACACTGGCATGGTCTGATCCTGTCACCTTTTATAGTTGTTGTGTTCCACGAGGTTTGAGTCTTTCAGTCTTTCAGCCCTGCGATACCTGATGTGCAGCATCGCGGCGACTGACGTTTGGACCAACCACAATAGAGAGGCTTTGCCAAGCTGAAAGGCAGAAACTGACACCAATCAAAGTACCAGCAGTCCATTCGAGGATTGATTGGTTCCAATTTCCTTGTTAGATCCGTGGTATACTCCCGAAAAAGCGAACCTACTTCTTCAAGCCTGTACCGGGCGTGTAGACAGATGTCGATACTAAATCAGTAACAGCAAGCAAGCTGCCAGGGAAAGCGACACCTGAGGCATTGGGACTCTCTCTTTATGTATCGATCTCGGATATGAGACCGGAAGAATATGTCGTTCGGAATTGAATCTTCGGAAGAACCTCAAACAACGGAAAGAACTCCTCTGATGCTGTTCTTGCTGATAATCCAGGGATGTGTACCGTTTCAACCATCCCATTTTCTGGCATCTTACGCGCCTGCATTCAGGCTACGAGCCGTGGTGGTTCGCAGTGCCTTACAGGGTGCGGTTAGCGAGCTTTGGGTTCAATGAATCTCAGACCTGCTAGCCATGGTAAGGGTTTGGTGGATTGAAATTCCGCATAGGCGAGAAAATCTTTGATCATAGAACGGATTTAAGCATTTGAAGTTAGGCAATCTCATTGATACACGTCCGCGCTGACGAATGCATTGTGGAAGGCAACGGACCCTAATAGTATATAGATGAGGCTGTGCTCTTAGCACCCATTAACAGACACTTCGTCTTCTTCCCATTGTTGACCATCAGCCTCGGGCGCCTTTCGGTCTTCTTCTCTTGCAATATATAGGTTTTCGACGCAGTGTATTGAAGACTTCGGAAAGACCGCGGATACGCTAGTCATTGCCGCCAAGAGACACGCGCCAAGAAGACTCGCTGCCGTTGGTAAGGCTGAACCCTGAGCTTCAGCTTACATACAGCACGCAAATACTCACACACTAAGAAACAAGAACCTGTTACAACATGCACAAGCGTTTTCTGAGCTCTATCGGCAGACGTCCGAGTAGGTTGACACTGCCAGGATTTTCGTGTGAGCCAAGAATAGCTGCTAACCGGCAACAAGGCCAGGAGTCCGAAAAGGCGATCCCTGACGGAGACTCACCGGAAGCCAGTGTTTCTAGAGGTGTAGTCAGTTTTGTCAGTATTGTGAATGAAGGCTCTCGCCATGCTAACATCTCCAAGAGACTATTTTGCGAGTCTGGAGGGCCAAATAACCAGGTACGACCTTGCAGTCTTTACGCAACAGTGCGCTTGCTAACGCTGCAATAAGGGAGAAGAAGTGCTGCACCTACCCGTAATCGTCGAAGCCGCAGAGTCAAGTCCAAGCGCCGCATCAGAAGCCGCCCTTCGGATACGAAAGTTTCTCTCCAAGGAGAATTACCCGCGAGCCTACGTGCAATACAATGCGATCATGCTGGTACGGATTCTGGCAGACAATCCGGGAAAAAGTTTCACCAAAAATATCGATCAAAAGTTCGTCGGCACGGTGAAGGAGCTGTTGCGAGATGGAAGGGATATGAGCGTTCAGCAGATTTTGAGGGAGACTTTGGATACTTTCGAGGAACACAAGGCTAACGATGAGACACTGGCTCTGTTGACGGAGATGTGGAAGAAAGAGAAAGCGAAGATGGGCAAACGATTGGGCTCAGCAGCGCGTATAGGGGAGCCTAGACGCGGCCCGGGTTTCCAGCATGCATTACAGCAGCCAGTACAACAGAACATGATGGCGCCTAGAAACCCCAAAACCCAAAATCAGCAGAACTACTTCGCCCGAAATCATAGACCACGAGGTCTACCTTCGCCAGCAGAACTGGCACAGAGGGTCGAAGAAGCCAAAACCTCCGCCAAGCTCCTTTCACAAGTCGTCCAGTCAACACCATCGAATGAAGTCCCAGGAAACGAGCTTATAAAGGAGTTCGTGGAGCGGTGCCAATCAGCAACACGCTCTATGCAGGACTATATCCACTCGGATAACCCAGCGCCGGATGAGGACACCCTCCTGACTTTAATCGAGACAAACGACCTGCTAGCAACAACTATGTCAAAACATCAACGGGCATTGCTCCAAGCGAGGCGTGCCACGGGTGTTTCGCCCTTGTCCACAGCCACGGGGCCATACGAGACGCCAGCTGCGCCTGTGACTTTTTCGAGTGAATCCAGAGACGGGCTTTTCACGCCTCCACCAGGCCCTCCACCTCGAAAGCAAATACCGCAATCGGAGGATCAGAACCCCTTTGGTGATCAACACCAAGCGCAAGGCTCCTCGAATGATGCTCAGGCGCCCGTTGCTCCACCAAGCTTCGGTCTCCCTCCACCGAATATGCCGCCAGAGAAGCAGCAGCCAAGCTATACAAATCGGCAGGATGCGTCAGCGAACAATGTGACTATTTACGGACCAGGCGCGGACGATGGAGCGTTGGAGCATCAGCCGACTAGGCAGCCAGTGCAGTACCGCTTTTGAGTGTAATGAATATAGGGGCAGTGTTAGTCATTGGCATGGACGTGGAAATGAGAGAGGGAATTTGACGACTAGATACCATCTTTGCGTTGTTCATATCATGATGATACCCAGGAACCTCATCATATCAATAGTGAATGATCAATTTGTACATGAAAATCCACTCTGAATAGCCGAACTTCCCACACTTCCATTCAACAATTAGCATTACTAGAAAATGGAATTCCAGTCCATTAATAATCTCTTACACCTTCCCACCCATCCGGCCTGAGCTCCTGTGCAACTTGAAGGCTATCTTTGCTAGGCTCCACAGTATAACAGTGCCAACAAATCTACCTCCATGAACCCATCCATTGAATTTATATGGAGGATGCTTGAGGCCTGGTAGTGAGCACCATCGATTAACACGCAGCCCAATTTCAGCCTTTCAATAACACGCAACACTTCTCCATCCTTTGATACGCTGTTCCGTTTTTTTATGTTCCTTCGAATATCTAAAATTTCTCGTGTCTCAAATAAGCCAGTCGTCCCCTACAGATCCAACAAGCAGTATCTCCACGCCTATCGAGAGAGAAGTCTCTGGAATGGCGGTTGTGTCCCATCGTGAACCCTCGTCTGAAGAGGAAGTTCCATTCCTGGCTCAGGTGGCTTCTCGCGTCCAAGAGACCTCCTCCCCAACGCCCCGGATTCTTCCCCGTGGCCGTTCCCAGATCCACCGCTTCGAGGTCATCAACCTTCCCGAAATTCCGAAACAGTCGGATATCAATCGTCGACTTTACGTTTCCCACTTCCTATCTACATGGAATTCTCGGGTTTTCGAATTTGGTGCCGTACTGTTTCTGGCACGTATCTTCCCAGGTACTCTTTTACCATCGTCAGTATATGCTCTTGTACGTGCTGCATCTGCCATTTGCTTTGCACCGTTGGTTGGGCGATACGTCGATCAACGAGATCGTCTGAAGGTTGTAAGAATCTCAATTGTTGGTCAACGAGGGGCTGTAATATTATCATGCCTGGGCTTTTGGGCTCTAGCTACCGATATCCTAGGCATTCCGGGCTTCAGACCTTTGCTCATAGCTATGCTGGTTCTTCTGGCTTGTGTGGAGAAGCTCGGCTCGATCATGAACACCATAGCGATCGAGCGAGACTGGGTCGTTGTGGTAGCGGAGACTTCTCAGTGCGGGCTCGAAGTCCTGAACTCTCAAATGCGGCGCATCGACCTAGTGTGCAAGCTCGTCGGTCCTCTCGCTATAGCTTTGGTGGATGGATACTCTACAACAATAGCGATCGCAGCTGTCCTAGGCATGGATGCTTCATCCGTGCTAATAGAATACTTCGCTATCGCAAGGGTCTACTACATGGTACCAGCACTCCAGGCACGTTCTGCCGTCGGGAACAATACCGATAGAATCTCGTCCGCCGTGTCAGAAGTGCCTTCAATATGGCGGCTTGGAACATTTTGTGTGGCGCAAACTCGGTCTTTCTACAAGGCTATCTCAAGTTACATCCGCCACACGGTCTTCCTTCCTTCGATGGCGCTCTGTCTCCTCTATTTCACCGTCCTCTCTTTTTCTGGCCAAATGGTGACATATCTCCTCTCCGTAGGTCTCTCCTCCGCGCAAATTGGCGTTCTGAGAACATTATCAACTGCAGTTGAGCTTTCTGCAACATGGCTCGCGCCAACAGCTATGAACAGAGTCGGTCCGCTACGAGGAGGTCTGTGGTTCATCAATTGGCAGATCACATGCCTCGTGGGAGCATTTGGCTTCTTCTGGGTCATGCGTACACCTTCAGTGGCCGCATTCGGGTTGGTAATCGGGGTAATAGCGAGCCGTGTTGGACTGTGGGGATTTGATCTGTGCGTACAAATCATCATCCAGGAGGTATCGGTCGCAGTAATCGCCCAAAATTGAAGGCTATACTGATGGCATATCTCTCTAGGGAGTCGACGCTGATTCAAGAGGATCCTTCTCCTCTCTTGAAGCTTCTTTTCAGAATTTCTTTGAGCTCTGCTCGTACGCAACGACAATCGCATTCTTTCGTCCCGAACAATTCCAGTATCCGGCGGCAATAAGCGCTGTAGCAGTTCTCATAGCGGGTGGTCTGTACGCGAAATTTGTACGAGACAACAGAGGACATTTGATTCATCTATCAAAGTGTATTGAGGGAAAGGGGAGCGCGAGACAACGAAAGCGGAGGCAGAGAGGAGACGCGAGTATGCACGAACTTCCATGAGAGATGAATGTTCGACATACCAGCCAAAGAACCTTACTTTGGAAGACAGACCGTAAGCTCTGATATGTGAACTTGCAAAGAAATTAGACCCTTCCAGAGCCGTATCTCAACTCAAACGCTCATAGCCAACAGCGATAGTGGATTTCCGCCCAGATGGGTCGAAAGTTGTTCATGGGTAGGGGGACAAGGCAAGCAAATGCAAAGCACCGCAGATCAGTTCAGTTCAACATTCAAAATCATCGCTATGTTTGACTAAACAATGAAGGGATTGCTATGCGAAAATGTGAATGAAAAAGGGGCTCCGTAGCAGACCAAATTTAGCCGAACCCTAAACCACAAAAGTAAATCAAATAAAATGACCCCTTCATGAACCTGTCATCCAGAAATCTCAGAAAGCAAAATAGGATGAAAAAAAAACAAAAATGATATTTTTATGCCCCCAGACCTTCACATCAGTTAGCCAAAGAAAGATGATAATTTACGAAGAGGATAAATTTACAGATTTGAACTATCGGCCTTTGCATAGAATTGTCACAATACAAGTGCAACGCTCTACCCCTCTAGGGAGGGTTAGCATTTGAATATGAATAACTTTAGAGGTGAAGACTAACGAGCTATAGGGGCATCTTAATTATAAATTTAGAATTATTATACTTTTTAATTAAATCGACTAACTTAGCTCGCTAGCTCTTTTAAGACTTCTTATTAAAAAAATATATATACGTTATTTATAAATAGAATAACTTTTTTTTTCTTTTATTAAAATTTTAAGATTATTTTATTAACTTATAGAGCGAAGATTACGCTTTTTAATAACGTAAAATTTTTAAAATTTAATCTTATAATTATTAAAAAGTAAGAATCTTAAATATCGCTTATTAAAGTTTACTTATTAAAGTTCTCGATAGCTCTAATTTAAAAATAGATATATATTATTTAATTTTAGAATAACATTTTTAATCTCTATTAAATTTTTTTAATTCTTTTTTTAAATTATAAATATAATTTAAGAATTTTCAAATAAAAAAAGAATTATTAAATTTAGTCTTTTAAATATTTAAAGATAAAGAATTTAAAATATATTATATCGCTTATTAAAGTTCGCTCGATAGCCTTAATTAAAAAATAGATTTATATTATTTATTTTTAAGATAACTTTTTTATTTTCTATTAAAATTTTTAAGATTTTTTATTTAAATTATAGAACGTAATATAGACTTTTAAAAAAAAAGAATTATCAAATTTAATCTTATAGAATATTTAAAAATAAGAAATTTAAATATTATCATTAAAAGTTCGCTTACTAAATTTACTCGATAGTCGATAATTTATAACTCTAATTAAAAAATAGATATATATTATCTAATTTCAAAGTAACTTTCTATTTTCTATTAAATTTTTAAGATTTTTTATTTAGATTATAGAATATAATATAGACTTTTAGATAAATAAAGAATTATTAAATTTAATCTTATAAATATTTTAAGATAAGAAATTTAAATATCGCTTATTAAAAACTTATATACTCTATTAAGAATATTTTTAATATAAGCTTAGATAGTCGAGTAATAATAATTTTAATAAAATTCGAAACTATTTCGCTTCGTTCTCGATTCGAATTTATAAATCTCTCTTTTCTAAAAAATCGTAAAATCGTAAAATCGTAAAAATCGTAAGAATTATAAAAATTCTATAAATTATAAAAATAAAAATAAATATAATTAATATAAAAAAACTATAATAGATATTAAAATTAACTTCTTATTAATTAAATCTAAATTAGTTTAAAGTTAACTAATTCTTTATAAACCTATTATTAATATAACTTCTCTTTTTTCTATTAATTTTTTTTAATCTTCTTTTTTAATTATAAAGCGTAGTTTAGGCTTTTAAATAAGAAAAGAATTATTAAATTTAATCTTATAAGTATTTAAAGATAAGAAGTCTTAGTATTATTAATTAAAAACTTATTTACTTTATTTAGAATACTCTTTAATATAAGCTTAAATAGTCGAGTAGTAATAATTTTAATAAAATTCGAAATTATTCTATATTATTCTCGATTTAAATCTATTAATCTCTCTCGCTAAAAAATTCTAAAATTTTAAATTTTAATAATCGTAAAATCGTAAAATTATAAAAGTTATAAAAATAATAAAAATTCTATAAATTATAAAAATAATTATTATTAATAAAAATATTATAATAGATTATTATTAAATCTAGATTAATATAAAGTTAATTAACTTTTTAAAAACTTATTATTAATATAACTTCTCTTTATTCTATTAAAATTTTATTATTATTTTAATTAATTATCGAATCTATTTAACGCTTTCTAATAATTTAAAGTTTATAAAGTTTAATCTTATAGTTCTAAGTAAATCTTAAATTAAAATATTTTTACTCTTCGAGAGTCGAATATAATCTCGAAATTAGATTTAAAAATTAATTACTTTCTATAAATTTAATTTATAAGTTTAAACTTATATAAATATATTAAAATATATTATATAATTATATTACGTAATCGCTAAGAGTTACGTATTTCGAATTTTAATACTCTTTTTTATATATATTCTCTTATAAGCGAAATTCGTTAGATATAAAGTTTAATATTACTAGAGTTTAAAATCGAATAAATAAGATAAAAAAACTTATTAATTTTTTTCGAGTTATCGAAAAAAAACTAATATTAAAAAAAAAAAAAAAAATTTTAAATAAAAAAATAAAAAAAAAAAAAAAAAAAAAAAAAAAAATTTTTTAAA